GACGTAATTTATTGAATAAATTTCGACATTCTAAAACACACTCAAACTGTATTTTAGAGAAAAATTTATACTAGTCTGCACCAAAAAAGTTTTAAATGTGCAATTTTTATTCAACTCAAAATACAGAGGGCTTCTAGATATTGATATGCGTATATACTTCAAACGTTTTTTATTTTATTATTTTTAATTAAATTTTTTTTTCTTTTTTTCTGTTTCTTAAATAAAACATAAAAAAAACTATTACTATTATATACAGTATAGGTAAAAGTTTATGGTCGGTATGGACTTTACGTGAGATGGAGTGAGAAACAGTTGTTTAAAAAGAGAGAGCTATATTAGCTCCGCTCTTTATATCGCAGAAAATGCATGCGTGGAAATAATAAGAAAAAATCAACGTTGCCAAACTTATTGGTTTTATTTGACCTCTTGTCTTTTTAGCATTTGAACAATGTTCTAAGATAATCGAATTTGGGCGAAATGGATGTAAATGGCAGCTAACTGTTTTTTAGTGGAAATATGCCACAATATTACTTTACAATAAGTGCCTTGTTCCCAATAAAAATAATAAACTGCACTATAACGCTAACAATAAACAAGCGTTATACAAAATTATTGGGCAACGTCGCGTCTCGCATCGTGAAAGTAGGGACAGTGGTAACGAGTAGAGGTGGGCCGTTGACGTTTTTATCGTTAACGCAACTGAACCGATTTTCGTAAACAAGTAACTCTTAATCTTTTTGCTAAACCCATTATTAGTAATTGTACTACCTCGGATACTATGGATAAAAGGTTACCTTTTGCTGAAATTTTATTGCAAGATTCTTGCAGGCAGCGTACCATAACAATCACTGAACTACCTTTTAAGTATTTTTGTCCACTCATTGTACTTGTTATTTCGTTAAAAGGCCGTAAAATTTGGTAAAGTTGAGAACAAATACTCCAGTCATCATTATTTCGATTTGGTCTAAGTCTAAGTCTATATTAACTAATACCAATGTGGAACGGATTGCCTCTTCTAACTCGGTCATTCTTTTTAACATTTAATAGGTGAAGTTCTACCTAGTTTCCCCGTCTTGGAATGGCCGTTTGGAAACTCTGTTTCTGATCTAAACATACTGATAGGATAGTTCAAAGAGAGCATAGCTAGCAGATGAGCTTAATTAAACAGGCGGTGGAAGTTTTATGCGCTAAATTTAAAATCGTATAAGTCAAATTGACGTAAACTGGCAATCTAGGCAGTAATAAAGACAAATTGTATACGTGGAATGTTAAAAAAATCTGTACTTGGAATGTTCGAAGTATGTTTGAAGAGGGAAAGATACACAACACCATTCAAGAAATGAAAAGACTAAATATCGACGTGATGGCAATTAGCAAGGTGAGATGGCCAGGCTTGGACAGTGATGTGTGGATGAGCATATAGTATATTATCCGGGAAACGATAAATCACATTAATGGAATAGAATAGCGGTGGCTATCTCTCTCTGATGCAGTCATTTTAAGTTACAAAGCAGACCCGTTAATACGAATATCATTTATATTTATCCTTCAACATCAGAAAAGCCAGAAGAGGATATCAAGGAATTCTAAGCACTTGTACAAAAATCACTAAAATTTGCCAAGAATAACGAGCCAAAATACCAAAGTTGGCAAAAGCATACTAGAAGACATTGTCGGTCAACATGGTTTAGGCGAGAAAAACGAAAGGAAAGACCGACCTATCCAATCTTGTCAAGAAGACGATTTTACCATTACTAACACCTGGTTTATACTTCCCCGAGACGATTTTATACGTGGAAGTTACCTGCAGATACAGCCAACAATATCATCAGAAACTAGATAGACTTTATTAATAATACTTAATTAACAAACCAACAACTAACAATCATTTATAGATTTAATTAACAAAAATTCAAGAACAATGAAGACCTTCCCAGAAGTAGGCATCTCATTGAACCACAACCCTTTAGTGGGCCAGATAAAACTCAAACTATAGAAACTCATTAAAAGTAAAATTGAAGAGCTCCAAGTGAAATACGATCATATAAATATCCACTGAAAAATTTGAGAAGCCACTGGTCAATACAAAAGGAGAAACACACATCTCCCCATAAACAAAAAAGGAACTTGACGAAGACAGTTAAGGAGAAGTTGGTGACCTGGAAAATGTACATCGAAGAACTTTTCTGGGACTACCGATATAAACCTTCCAGAAATAAATTGCATGACATGGCCTAAAAACTACAGGAGACGTATTTTGTTCAAAGCGATATAAATAATTAAAAAAAAATTACGGACTGAAAAACTTAACTGTTGTAATTTGTTTGAAAAAAATTGTTTAAAAAAAATTATCTTTTTACCTGGGCAACCACTTGAACTTTATTTTGGGGTATCTCATGAAAGTGATAGGGCATGCAAAAAAATTTTATGGGTATTTTATTCCTAATGAACCTAATCTTTTCGCCTTGCCTATGTAGCATATCATAGATCAAAAAATAGCTTTAAAAAGGATAACTTAAACTACTTCTTTTTCTAGTTCCATAATCGTTATCGATCGTTAGATATCATGTTCGCTACCATATTCCCTATCGTGACTTTATTGACAGCAGCTCTAAATAACGATGTAGTAGATTTTCCATACCATTGCCTTAGAGTTTTCAGCCATGATATTCTTCTTCTACCAGGACCACGATTACCTTGGACTTTCCCTGAATGATCAGATGTAAAAGATCATATTTTTCAGGGTGTCTCATATTGTAGAAGTATTCCAGCTTGCGTTTCTTTATTATATTGACCAGTTGTGTTGTTTGGTTCAGCCGTCTAAGGACCTTCTCATTTCTAACTCTGTCGACCCAGCTTATTTTTAGTAGTCGTCTGTATACATCTTTAAGGCTGTCAAGCGTTTAAGGATAGCCTCAGTTAGAGTCCACGCTTCCACTCCATATAGCAGGACAGAAAAAATGTAGCTAAGATTGTGACTGCAAAGTACGTTTCTCATTTTTACAAAGGCAGCTCAGGCTTGTTCTATTCGGCTTTTAATTTCTGCGGTTGGATCCCAGCTTTCTTTGATATTACTGCCGAGACACATGAGTTTCTCTACTCTGTCCACTGTGACATCTCCGACTTTTATACCGTAATCTTGTGTATAATTTTGTTTGTTAACTATCATATATTTAGTTTTCTTAACGTTGAGTTTTAATCTATACTGATCACAAGTCTGTTTTATTTTGTTCATTAGATTTTGAAGGTCTTCTCCGCAATTGGCAAGGACTAAGGTATCGTCGGCATATCTAATATTGTTGACGGTTACTCCATTCACAATAATACCTTCGGTTGTCTCCATTAAGGCTTCCTTAAATATTTAATCCAATTATAAGTTATAAAGTAAAGGCGACAATATAGAGCCTTGTATCACCCCTCTTTTTATATTCATTTCATCCGACAGTTCTTTTTTAACCTTTATTCTTGCCACTTGATGCCAGTATAGATTTGTAACTATTCGTAGATCTTTATCGTCCAATCCAGCTGTTTTCAATATTTCTAGCATTTTGTTATGTCGGAATTTGTCAAAAGACTTTTCCAAATCGATTGCACAAATGTACACATTTTGATTTTTATCTCTGCATCTCTGTACTAGCACCTGTATACTAAACAAGGCTTCTCTTGTACCCAAGCCAGTCCTAAACCCAAATTGAGTATTACTAATTCTATCCTCCAACAGCGTGTAAAACGTGACTGATCAGACTCATTGTCCGATAATCACCGCATGTCTTTGGACGATGTTTCTTAGGTATTGTGACAAATGTCGACTTTTACCAATTATTTGGTAATATCCCAGTGTCATAAATTCTTTTAAAGAGATAACATAGAGCTTTAATTCCATTTTCGCCAAAAACTTTAGTATTTCAGCACTTAATTCATCGGGGCCACGTACTTTTCCATTTTTTGCCGTTTGTATTGAACGTGTAACCTCACTTTCTGTTATATATGGACCTGATATAGAAATCGGTGTATAGTGTTTTACTCTCTCATCTTCAAATAATTCAGAAATGTAGTTTTCTTATTCTTTTAATTGTTTATTGATGTCTAATATTCTGTGTCCTTTTCTGTCTTCTAAACTTTGGGATATTTGTTTCCGTTTGTATCCAGCGACCTCTTTTAATTTCTTGTGCAGATGAAATGTATCGTGTTTCTTTTCATATTGTTAAATTTCATTACATTCTTTACTTTGAAATTGTGTTTTCGCGTGTCTTATCTTCTGCCTGATTATTGCGTGGATCCCCTTGTATTCGTTTTTATCTTTCTTTCTGACTTCTTTTCTTTAATCCATAAGTCTCAGTAATTCTTCTGTCATTCACTCTTGTTTTTTCTTGCTTTTAGCGCACTCAATTTTGTTTCTTGAACAGTCTTTAAGATGTCTTTAAATCTCGTCCTGTTTTCCTCAGTACTTTCTTCTTTGCTTGATGTTAACTTCATTTTTTGTTCTAATATATTAGTTATTTTTTGTTTTACAGTATCATTTAGCCCTTTTGTCTATCAATAGTATCTGTTTGCTTATTTGTCCTTGAAACTCTTTTTAATCTCAGTCTTATTTTTTCTACTAAAATATTGTGATCTGTTGGTAGATCTACGCCTGGATATGTTTTTACTGGTAATACTGAATTTCTGTATCTCTTATTTACACATATGAAGTCTAAACTACACATACTATATATAAGCTACAAAATATTCAGAGTATTGTTAAGGAAATTTAAAGAAATAAAATTTATATTACTAAGCACATTATGGATATTATATTATCAGTTTCCGGAAACAATTCCTCCCAAATTATTATCTCAACACACACGATGTTGTTCTCATTCTCAATTAAAAAATATATCTTAGGAAATAGGAAACCATTTCGAGATTATTCACCTAATACGTTTTGATAATTGGAACTTTAATTTAATTCATTTGCATCGTGCACAACTTTGTGGTTTTTAAAATATTCCACGCATTTTAGTGCATAGAGAGAGTACAAACTGGGTCATTGTAAAAGTGTGGTTTTATCGTGAATCAAGAGGGAAGTCTGAAATGTTTGGCTTTAAGGGATTTTTGCTGTTTTCGTGTTGTCTGGCTTCATCATTTTCGGAATATTTAGTAAGTGCTTAACATAATTTAACTCCTGTAAAATATAAAATGCGCTATATGCGCGCATCCGCTTAAAATATAGCATCACAAATTACTCATAAAACAACTCAACTCACATTGTCGTGGTATTGTATAAGATAGATATTTTAAATTTAGTTATTATTTTAATTTATTTGTCTAGATAGCGTAGGTTATTCACTAATGTACAGGATATCCCAAATATATATAATTTGCAGGGTAGACCGAAAACTAGAGGTGATAGAAAAAAAGTACCGTAATTTCGGTTGACTTTAACTTACTTTCGACGTTTAAAGATAGATTTCAGTATTCTGAATATACACTGTGTGTCTGCCAAATGGATTAAATTAGCTAATAAATAACTGAGAAAGTATTCGAAAAAACGGTCGAACATGTCAATTAGTATTTATAGTTGCGCATTTTTTTTCCATAAAAACTTTTTATACAGGGTGTATCAGATAACGGTGACCAATACCAACTTGCTTATTTTAAATAGAACACCCTATATATTAATTAATTTTTGGATTCCTTAGATCATTTTAGACACTTTTTGGATACAATATTCTATACCTATCTTTTACTGTTTCGGAAATATTAAGTAACATGCAAAAATTCACATTTAGAAAAGAAAATTATTTATTTGTCGAAAGTCGCTACCACTGTCTTAATACTTCTTGCCCATTTAGATCTTGTAATGATAAAAATAAGCAAAAACGATTTAAGCATTCCTTTTCATTGATATTTAAAAAAAATTGTTTACTTTCGTTTAAAACTCCAATGTTTTACTGCTCCATGACAGAAGTAGTTGTCAGTGCTATAGTCGTTTGATTTTCACTAACTTCAAGCCAGAAAAATGGTTTATTTAACAGAAATGCACAAAATTACAAATATATAGATGATTGGCTATGGAGATAAGACAAGGGCGCAAATTGTAGTATCTCGTTTATTTCACGAAGCATTTCCTGATTTACCACACATATCTCAAGGGACAAGGTAAGCGACCTTAGGAAGGTCAAATGGAAGCTGCCAATGAAATAAGTAGGGATACCAAATTGGCTATTATGCTTGAGTTTGAGGAACATTCACATAGATCTGTTTGAAAAGCAGCCCCAGTACTTGATATTAGCTATTCATCGGTTATTCGAATATTACAAGAAAACAAAATGCATCTCTATGAAATTGTACATATTCAGGAAGTCATGGAAGATGATTTTGACAGGAGGACGTATTTTTGTGAACAAATTATGGCATTGTCAGACGGCAATGTGATCCAATTAGAACTTGTTTTATTTTCTGATGAGTGCACCTTTTCTTCACGGTCATGCTAATCGGCAAAATTGCCGCTATTGGTCCATGGAAAATCCTCACTGGATGAGAAAAAGTAATACTAAATACCCTGAAAAGGTTAACGTGTGGACAGGAATGATTGAAGATCAGATCATAGGTCCCTTTTTCAGAGATGGCAATTATTTAGTATTGCTCCAAAATAATGTTCCAACGTTGGTCAACTTGTATTCTGATCTTAGAAACCCACAAGTTCCAGCAAATATGATATGGTTTCAATAAAATATTTATTTGAACTTCTACCTCAAACAAATATTTTTTAATCGGTGGATAGTGAGGCGAGGATCGATGGAATGGCCACCACGTTCCCCCGATTTGACGCCATTAGACTTTTTCTTATAGGGATATGTGAAAAGTATTGTATACAAAACTAAACCCACTGACTTAGCTGACTTACGAAGACGAATAACCAGTGCGAGTAGATCGATCACATTTGAGAGGTTGAGTAACGTTCGAAGACATTTCTATTAACGGTTAGGGTGTTGCCAAAACGTTCGTGGGGAGCATTTTAAACATCTTCTACATTGATTACTAAAATATTCCTCCCAAAATGAGCCAAAGTCACCGTGTTGGGCCAAAGTCACCCGAAATTACGGTAGTTAAGATATGATTCCTTTATCCTTTAAAATAACGATTGTTCAATCAAATCAGGATACAGTGCGATTAACAAAAAAAATGTCGAAAACAACATGGTTATATATCTTTTTTACTAGAAAAAAATTTAAACAAATTTATTAAAACTTTGATCCATATATATCATAAAAGTCTCAACACAGAAATATGATGAACTTGTGTTGATATTTTTTTATATGGAACACCCCATATATTTTGACATTGTTCGTTTATATTTTTAATTATTTATCAACTAATATGACATACTGTGTATATATCTTTTTCTTGTTGTTGTTGTAGAAATAAAATTAATCAACTTAAAACATGTGAATAACAAAACCAACAACAAAACTACCCAACAACCAAAAACAGGGAAACCAGGGAAATAAACAAAAAAGTACCCTGTTTCCTGCAATCGATTTTTGAACTTAATTGGCCAGCCTGGAACTAGAGTTACATTTTTGTCAAAATTTAGTTAACATCAAATTTAGATATTCTATTCTAAAGAGGTCTATATTATATATTGATTTAACATAAGGACAAACACAAGTATAGTTTGTTTAAGTGGTTTAGTAGTGATTTATAGTGAAACAATTTGCTAAATTTTGTTACAAAGTACTATAAACTAAAGTAAAACACTGGGTCACTGTATGTCATAATTTATAATTTGTTTTTTATTAATTTTAATTTTTTATTTTAAATTGGGAATTAGTCACAGATTTTTATCTAATACCGTTTTCAAACAAAATAATTTTAAGGAATATTTTTATTTACAAATTATTTAAGTGGTTTTATATTTAATATTTTTAATGTAATAATATCTTATAAAATTTAGGTAGATGCTGATTTTTCTTTACTACAAGAGGACAACAACTTTTTTCGTAAGTGTTTTTATTAATTTCAATATTAGCGTTAATAAAAAAACTGATATTAACAAACTAAGCAATATCTATAATTACATTCTATCTTACGAAAATTAATACTTTAATTTTCTAATATATGATTTTCTGACTATAAATACTATATCTTCAAAAATTTAAATATTCATATTTGGCGCCACTTTGTACATAAACATAATAACAATCTAGAGCTAGTTATCAATAACAAAAACAGACACGAGTGTCTTTTTGACATAAATCAAACATCATTATAATAATCAATGTCATAATATATTCAAAATTAAAATATTCTACTTACATAAAAGTATAATTTAGATAAGTTAAGAATGTTTTGTGAATTTAATAATTTAATGGTTTAACCTTATGTTGTAAGTTTTTATATTAGTTTTATACAATGTTTTTCAATTCTAATTTCATTGTATTTACCATAACATATTTTAGCATATCCTGATGAAGCAAATAAATTTTGCGAAAGCTTGATTTAAGAACAAAGAATTTAACTTATCCTACCCTACTTAAATGACTGCATCCTCAAAATAAAACTTCATTATATATATATATATATATATATATATATATATATATATATATATATATATATATACATATACTACAAATATATTAACTTTTAGACGAACGATTTAAAAGAGCACTTTTTAAACGAGGCAGCAACCCAAATGAATGTAGTATACCAATGTGTAAAAAAGTGACAGCCGAATTGCTGTTGTCTATGGATCATAATGCCGATGCATGTGAAGAGTTTTTCGAGATGATTTGTGGAAACCAAGTAGCAGAGAGAGGTTTTACAAGTGATAGTTTCGAGACGTTGGAATATTATTTGAATAACAAAGTTACGTATACATCCGAAAAGTATTTGCAAGATTTTAAGAGGTTTTATGACAGCTGTTTACGATATTCTCTGGATTTTGGTTATCTACGTAATTTAGATTTCAGTAAGTATTATTATATAATATATTATGTAGTTTAGTTACTATTTAACTGGAAATAAGCCACAATTAAAAATAAAAATACGTTTATTGACGTTTCAATTTCCACTTCGGAAATCGTTTTCAAAATACAAATAGTAAATTAAACAAATTTTGTTTTTTGTTACATAGTGAAAAATTCTTTTAATAATTTAATTTTATCCTTATTTATATTGACAATTCAGACATACATTATGCATTTTAAAGTAGACGGCAATAAATGATATTACCAATATTGTTGAGTTGCGCTCCTGGGACGACTTTACTTATAAGATAGTTCATTCGATTACATGAAATCAACTTGAGAATATCCGTCAGAAAAAAATCATAGCATGTAATTCGTCTTTAAAAAGACAAACACATGGCATGATGACAGTAAAATTCTCCTGTTAGTGATTCCATAGTAAATTATGAGGGAAAAACCAGGAAAAAACCTCATAATACTATCCCGACATTGTAAGTATTTGTCCGTGAATTTAGTTTACGTTCAACAAACATCAAAATTCTGATTTTATATGTTACGTTATTTAAAAAACATAAATGATGTATCCTCTATATGTTAATGACTTACTAATACTGGTATTTTCTTATTAATAACTTCCTCTTTCAATATTGGTAACCAGATCCTACTACATTCTGCCGAGGAATTTGCGACACAATTGGCCTCATTTAGCATAATTAGAGCCGCTTCTTTGATTTTTCTTTTTTTACCATCCGTTTCTTTTAGGACTACATTTGAATAATTCCAGTGAACCCTATGTTCATTATCCCATGCGTGTTTACATATTTGAGATCTATCAAATTCTCTATTTTTAATATAAGATTGATGTTTACTTATTCTAACATTTAATGGCCTTGATGATTCACCTAAATAAAACAGATCGCATTCACAAGGTATTTTATAAATGCAATTCTTTGTCCTTTCTTGTTCATTGTTAGGTTTGGTTTTGGACAAAATAGATCTCAACGTGTTTGAATGTTGTTGAAATGTTGAATTTATTAAAATGCCACAAGACAATAGCTTCAGAACAATATATTATGTAGTTCTTGAGATATTTTCTTGCGGCATCTTAAAGTAATTACTATTTTAATGAAAATAAGTCATAATTAAAGTTTAAAATAAGTTTATTGACGTTTAAATGTCCACCTCGGAAATCGTCCTCAACCTACAAACATTATTGAATTAAACAATTTTTGTTTTTTGTTACTTGCTGAAAAATTCTTCTAATAATTAAATTTTTTTTGACTTATTTATATTGTCAATTCAGACGTATATTCTACATTTTAAAGTGGACTCTAAAATGATATCGCCAATATTGCTGAGTTGCGTGCCTGCGGGAATACTTTATTGTATGATTGTAAGTAGTTGGACAGATTTCTAAATGATATGAACGAAAAAAGAAGGGACAATTTACCATGGAAAATTAATTTAATAACATAAAATCTTTCCTGGATGTTTTAATTTCTAAGAATAATAATGCATATGAGATTCAGCTGTATAGAAAACCAATACACACCAAAAGATCAAACCAACAAACCAACACACACAATCAAAACTAAATTACACATCAAATCATAATATCAATATTAAAAAAGAAATTATTAAATCCTTATACAACAGAGCCAAAATTACTTGTTCTAACGAAAATTTGTTCTTAGAAGTAAAACATTTGTTAACATCTGTTTTAATTAAAAAATGATTATCTTTTATTGTTTGTAAATAAGGAATTTTCAACAATCGAGCGAATAGAACAAAAAAACTTAGAATGAGATCCTAGAGCATACACAAGGAATAATAAGAAAAATATCAATACCATACATAAAAAGATTATCAGAAACACGTTAAAGGAAAGAAAGTAGATTCAACATTTAATTTAACATTATTTTATTTAAAACTAAACCTATTAATGAGCATGAAAGAACAAAAATTTTATGTAAAAAATACCTTGTGAATGCGATCAGTTTTATTTAGGTAAAACATCAAGACCATTAAATGTTAGAATAAGTGAACACAAATCTTATTTTAAAACTAGAGCAGTTGATAGATCTCAAATATTTAAACATTCATGAAAAAATAAACATAGCATTCGGTGAAACGATGCAAATATATTCCTAAAAGAAACAGATAATAAAAAGTGAAGAATGAAAGAAGCAGCTCTAATTATGCTAAATTAGACGAAATGTATCGCAAGTTTCTCGGTAGAAGACAGTAGGAGTAGTAGTAGGTTAGCCATATTAAAAGAGAAGGTTACAAAAAGAAAAATGCCAGTTTTAGTATGTACGTAACATATCGACGATAAATTATTTTTATGCGTTGTAACCCTTAACTGGTGGCCCTACTTTTAATTACATAAATGGTGACCATGAGTCTGACAGACTCCTGGCCAAAAAAAGCTGTTTTTGCAAAACTGGCAGCTCAAAAATGCAATAAAACAGTTTTTAATAATAAAACAATATTGTAATGTCATTTTTATTTAGTGAAAAAGAAAAACATCAAACTGCAGGACTTATAACAAAAACAGAAAAAATGGTAACATGTTTTATAACACAAAATTTTTAAAGTCATATTCCAAAAAAAAATTAAACATATACAAACAAATATAATATATGTATGTTTAAAAATAGGTACATTTTACATAAAAAATTGGTAAAAACAACATAATTGCAATTCTGCACAAAACCTGCAAATCACTAAAAACGTTAAAAATCTATTCTGCCCTGGTACAATTTATACAAATTTTTCGAGAACATTGCAAACATATGGGTTTTTGACAAATTGTGCATAAATATGCAGACTTTCTTCTTAATTTGGATGGACAGATGTAGCAATATTTTCTTATTTCAAGCTTTTCTTCTTCGTTAGCCTTATTTTCGGGAATATCAAGGATACTTCCGAACAGTTCTTTCAGCTGCCTTTGTAATGTTGGCATTTCATACCTTCTATGCAAATATGAGGAAACGAGTTCATCGGCCAGGGTTTCTATAAATTTGAATCTAGTCCAATTATTTTCGGGAATCGAAGTAAACATAATGTATGAATTTACTCCACATATGTCTACTATTTTATAAAAAATAGCCATGGGCCATTTACGTGTTCTGCGGCTACAGGAATATTGTACACACTTTTCATCCATCGCGTCTACATCCTCTTTGGTCAAGTTGTAAAAAGAATTTATTTCTGGTAGTTGATTACCTGCATCTACTTCTATGGAATGATGCACGGAAGAAATTAATATCACAGCTTTATTTTTCTTAGTTGTACGGGATAAAAGTGTTGGGTCTTTGGTAGATCCATACAAAGTGTCGTCTTCATTACGATTTGGTCGCGGAAGGAACTGTGGAGGAATTTCTTTTTTATTTCTTCGCATTGTGCCAACGTAAGTGAGTTTATGTTGTTGTAGATAATGTACTAAATCAACTGAACTAAACCAGTTGTCGCCAGTTACATTTCTATTATTGTAAAGATGTTTGACTAATCTTAAATACCCAGTTCATGCATCAGTCATACATAAGATTTTTATCCCATATTTACAGGGTTTGCTGGGAATATACATTTTAAAGCGACATCTGCCTTTGAAGCCAACCAGCATTTCGTCTACACACACATTTTTCCCAACCGTATATGAATCTTTTGAATTGCATACAAATAAGTCAAAGAATTCTTGGATTCAGCAGCAGCTGAATTATCCCTTGCTCTTTGTTCTCGGTCCGAGGAAAAGTTGCGAGTTTTTCGTTAGTTCTCTTAACAACAAGACTATACATATCTGGTGAAAACAATCTTTTAAAATAATAAACGGGACTTGTTGCCTTTTCTACTTTTGAACGGATTGATGGGAGTACAACAATATTGTGAGCAGGCATACGGACGTTTCTAGTTGGCTCCTTTTTACTCCACTTATGATTATTCTTTCCATAGTAATAATTGCTGGAATTGGCATACTCTTCTCCATCTTAGCTAGATATCATTTCTGAGTCTTGTTGCTGTTTATTTTCACTTAGTTCTTGTTCACTGTCCGTAAAATGATCACTTTCTATGTAATTTCCTTCTTCCACATCATCATCACTAATGTCACTGTTCGCCTCATTATACCATTTTGTGCACACTTCTTCGAAATCATCGTCTAATACTCTTACAGCTTTACGAGAACTATTCATATTAAAATAACACTGATGGTGACCTTGCGTCTAGTATACTCCGCGACGTAAATATTTCGAAAACGGGACGAGCGAGGTATCTCTCATTAACACGTTCGAATATACTCTAAAAGCTAGGAAGGTACACCGAATTACAGATTGCTACGTATTTGTGGCGAGAAGCGCAGACGTGTTAATAAACGTGCAGAGTCTGTGAGACGCATGTTCACCAGTTAAGGGTTAAATAACATACACACATAATCAGAATTTGGCGTTTATTGAGAGTAAACTAAATAAAAGACCTAATATTTATTATTTCGGCATTGCATTATAAGTTTGTTTTGCTTGTTTTTCCTCGTGATTTACTATAAAATCACTAACAGCAAAATTTTACTGTCATCATGGCATGTCATTATCTTTTTCAAGACGACTCACATGCAATGATTTTTTCTGACGGATATTCTTAAGTTAATGTTGATTTCATGTTATCGAATGAACTATCTTACAATAAAGTTGTCCCAGAAATGCAACTTACCAATGTTGGTGATATCATTTTATTAATGTTTTGTATTTTGAGAACGATGTCCGAAGTAAAAATAGAAACGTCAAAAGAAACATATTTTGCACTAAAATTATGGCTTATTCCTAATACAAATAGTAAACTCATTAAAACTACTCTAATTTTCTAGTTGCAACTCCAGCAATAAACGATTTAACTCAAGTTTTTGTGGAGGCCATTTTGACACAGTCAATGCCGTTTTTGGATATTGGACTGGATATTGATGCTAATGATGAGAGTTATACATTTGTGGTAAGGATTATTAACAGCAATTTTTTTAATTTTAAATTAAAATTGACTGAGACCAACTGACAGGTCAATTTTATTAAAATGAAAGTACCTACCCAGGTTCTTGTTTATCATTAAATTCACACTGAAGAAATCAATACTTACTCTGTTGGTACATATCATACAACGCATTCTGTACTACCATTTGTGATGTCTCGGGCATATCAGTGGTCTTACTTTCAAGACGACGTCTTTTTTGCCTGGTTTTGAAAGGAAAGGAATATTGATGCTAATGATGAGAGTTATACATTTGTGGTAAGGATTATTAAAAGCAATTTTTTTTAATTTTAAATCAAAATTGACTGAGACCAACTGACAGGTTAATTTTATTAAAATTAAAGTACCTACCCAGGTTCTTGTTTATCATTAAATTCACACTGAAGAAATCAATACTTACTCTATTGATACATATCATACAACGTATTCTATACTACCATTTGTGATGTCTCTGGCATATCAGTCGTCTTACTTTCAAGACGTCTTTTTTGCCTGGTTTTGAAAGAAAAGAGCTGTTTTCTTTTCTTTTTTTATCGAGTATATTGTCCACCGTGATATTTTTAAAAGCAGCGGCAACTCTCTTAAAAAAATATTTTATAGTAACTGATTAACAAACATGCATTTGATATTTTACTGCTTGAACAGATGTAAGAGGCTCCAAAGGTCCTCCATTAATTGGTTCTAACTCAAAATATTTATATAAATTCAATACAAGTTGCTGTGCTTGGGAATTTAGCGTTTTTCCAGGCAAATCTTAAGAATATTAATAATAATAAGTAATCTCGAAAATATACAGATAAATTTCGGTTCGACGGAACGATAGCCAGACTCATGAAGTAAAATGACAATCAAACACAATGACGGTATTAGATTTTATTTCTTTACTTCGTTTGGAGTAGCAGAAATCGAATTCACTACGAATATTGGCCATGATGAACGGTATTTGGAGTGCAATTTTAGATTCCCTTGTCGATTTATTCATCAAGCTGTTTGCTTTGCAAGTTTTAGGAAGCACGGTGGCTTATATTTGAATTCGATTTCGCCAGGTAGAAATCGTATGATTTCTCTTTTTGTTTTTTTTTTAAATGGCAATTTGTAGATTAGAAAAGATTACTTTCCTCATTGACTTAAAAATAAATACTTACCGGAAGTAACCAAATTCAGAGAGCAACAGTTAGTCGTTATAAAAATAATTATGCTTGAAAATATATAATTCAAATAACATACCCAAAGAGTACAAGTTAAGTAATTTAATAACTCAAAAAAATTAATTTAAATAAATCAATAAACACGACAGATGAGCTAATGCCACTGTCAATGAATATTATAAACGTCAAAATTTACAGTAAACAAGGTATCAAAGACGTGCCTTATTGTTGATACTTGTTTAACTTATTATGATTTCTATGGGCAAGCGGTTTAATTTTGCAATACTAGTTTCTGTGTGTGAAAAAGAGACATAGTATAAGAAGTAATTTGTAAATAATTTCATGCATGGGAAAAGATAGGAGTGGATATACTATAACAATCGTTATACTTGTAATTTGGCAATTACTTATCTAAACAAAATATTTAAAAAATTAAACATTTTCTATTTTATCAAAGATGTCTTTATGAAACGCCACTAATAAAAAGTAAAAATAATTACGAATTCGCATAAATTATGCTGACCAAATATTAATTTGCTAAAACGTATCGTGCACTCGTCTGTTATTACAGCTGGCTCACTAAAAAAGACCGCATATATTAAAATGTACGGATAGCTATTAAAATGTGAACCGATAATACTTCGAATTTCTTATTAGTAAACGGAGTATTTGATTTACACCTCGAACAATTCTACCATCTAACGTATTACATGTATTAGTCACCTTTTTTTTTCTTGTCAGAGTAATTGTAATTGTAATCTTAGTATCGTGTGATATTGGCATAGACTCGAAAAAGTGCAGTTGCCACACTTACCTCAATGTATATTACCTATGTCCAGCTGAATGATTTACGTACTGTATATGTTAGTTTATTTAATAATATATATTGCTTAAAGCTGTTTTAGCAGTTCAAGCACACTGCGATTTGAAATGGGCGTATCACTTTTATTTCTACACTGCTTACGCGAGACTATCTTTACTCAGTGGCGACGGCCAACGGGCAACAAATGCATTACTGTCCATTCAAATTATTAGATTTTAGTATTTTTTAGCAACTTTCTTCAAAGCTTGAACACGCTTTTCTCGATTATTACTGGACACAGAAAGGAAAAAAATCAACGATTACAGAAAAAAAAATCTTTCAAGTCATGGGCGTAAAAAATTTGGTTATAATTGAACGTTAAACAGTATAATCCAATTTTTCAACAGAAGTAACAAAAAAATAAAAAAAGTAAAACCATCATTTTAAAAGCAACATAGTTTCGAATATTGTTTCCAAATTTCGAGACATTTTGTCAATAAATAACAGTTTCTAGGTTTTAGTGAACCGATAAAACAGCCTTAATTTCGATTTAAACATACCAACACAATGTAAAGTTTTCATTGGAAAACAATGTAAAGTTTCCTTCAAAAGAAAAAAACTTTAAGTAAGGGAAAAAGTAGAGTAAGCGTAAAATAAACAAAAATAAATAAAGCGATAACAAGACTACCTACTTGGCATATTTTTGGTTCAAACTACCATTATGTTGAGCTATATAAGTTGCTTTTAATATTAATTAAGAGCATAATCACTGAAAATCCCGACTCTAATGATAACCAAAGTAATAGATAAAACATTGTGACTAAAATTAAAACTGCCTACTGCGTATGTGTAATACTCAGTTAGGGACAAGATGATAACAAGGAGATTTTTGTAAGAGATGTCCTAATGAAAACTATATTTAGGGCATTCTAATAAATTTTATACATTATCAGCCAAGTAAAAAAAATAATCTAATATTTTTTTAATTAATTTAATGCGAATCTATTTTTATAATTATTTATTTTAGTTAACATTACCAGGTGTGAGTTACCTTAAAACTCACACAAATGGGTGGTCAGTTTTTGAAGAAGTTGAACGAGAATGTTTGGAAGAAGCTCAAAACTCTGTAGGAGCTAAGACTGTTGATTTAGAACAAATGTATTCCAAATACGTAAAGTGCAAACGAGTCGTTTTATTAAAATATGCTGAAGAATTTGAAGCCGTTATGAAACTTACTAACAAAATGAGCGACAATGAGGTAAAATAATTTTTAACATAATAAATTCTACTAACAAGTGTTTTTTTGGAGAAAAAGTAAGTTGGTAAATTTTTTTTAACTATCTGCCATTTTGACAGCTGTTAAGTAATTTGAGTCAAGTTTGATGTTTGTTATTTTAGCATGAATCGCACATTTACTTACTCCGTGCCGTTACAACCCATCGTGGGTTTTAGCAAACTCGACAACATGTCTCCCTTGTTTTCTGTCTTGAGCAACCTCCACCCAATTCTCTACGCGCACAGTGCTTAGGTCTTCTGCTATATTATCTCGCCACCGGAAACGAGGCCGTCGCGTGGTCTCCTATCAGTTGGGACTTCCTCCCACACCAGTCTTACTGTTCGTTCGTCAGAATGTCTTCTGCGGTGTCCTGCCCATTGGAGTCTTCTGAACTTTATTTCTTTTATGATGTTAGCGTCTTGGTAGAGTTCTTCGAGCTCTTTGTTAGTTCTTATCCTATATTGTCCTGATGCTTCATCCAGCACAGGACCAAAGATCTTCCTTAGGATTTTTCTTTCCCAAACACATAGCCTCTCTTCGTTTGCCTTTGTTATCGTTTACTAAATCGCACATCCCAAATAAAACTGTTGTAAATCAAAAATACTGAATTTTACAGGAGTAGCAAAAGAAAATTTCAAGCTACTTTATTTGGAGTTAAGTTAACACCTAATAGAAATTTTAAATGTATTTCTTTGCAAATTGAAGTCAATATTAATTATATACGGAGTGGCCCAAAAGTCTGGAAACGGCCAATTATCTCGTAAATTGCTAGTCATAATTGTACAAAATTTGAGGTACACCTATTTTGGGATAAGGATATTCCATATTTGATATTTGCAATGTTGCCAGATTTGTGGTTTCTCTTATATTATTAGTAACTTTGGTTTTTCAAATTCATCATCCTATATATTCAGTTATTATTGGAACCTTCTATTCAATGCGAGTTCAACCATATGTAAAACTTATGCTTTTATGTTGTCTGAAAGGTCTTAAATACATAAAACAGAAGTCTGGCAACGCCTAATTGTAATACGCCTCAATAAATTTTTTAATAATAACTATTTTCAACTACATTAAAACGTAACAATTTTTTAAGATATTGTTTACTTTATCAAGTGTTCAAAATGTGTTCCGTTCGTTAGTTGAGACTACCCTATCGATGGTAGAATGCGTCTACCCACAGCCACCTTTACTTCCAAGCCATGAAGTAGAAATTTGGCAACAACGCGTGGTAGTCCGACCGTGGTTTGTGGTGTTTTACATTTCACATAGAAAGGTTTGTAAAGTTTGTTAAATTTAGTGTTTTTTTAACTTCATTCGAATGTTCTATTTGTAAATTGTGTTTAAATCAATTAGAAAATATTAATATAAGTTTGGATTATTCAATCAACGATATAAGTGAAATTTCCTTAAGTTTAGAACTTTTAGAAGATTCTTAGTGACAATTTAAAAGGCAAGTATAAGTATAACCTACAAAACAAAATAATAATACTTTTGTTTCTTGTTACAAAATATGTAAACTGAAAACAGTAATAATACTTTTGTTTGTTGTTACAGATGCCCCGGTATTATTGTGTACCTGGTTGAAAAACCAATTATGCCAGTACTTTAAAAACGAGATAGGCAGAAAGTACGTTTTCGTTTTACCAAATCTTCCGTAGTATGTGCCAAACATTTTCATGAAGATGATATTCAGCGGACTGAATTATATTTAATTCTGTCCCATATTTGTCGTCTTTAATTCTGTCTAATATATAAGCAAATAACAGTAAACAACGGATACAACGAACAAACAATTAATAAAATGTTAAATCAAAAACTACACAAGAAAGCCCTGAAATTAGTATTTCCACAACCAGGGAAAAAACCCAGTACCTTCTGCTCGATTACATATGCAGGCAAAATAACAACAAAAATAGCCAAACACATAAAAAAGAAAGGAATAACACCAGCTTTCCGAACAAATAACAACGTAGGCAAATATTTTAAAAATAACAAGACCCAATATAAAAAAACACTTGCATAGTGGTGTGTACAAAGTTCAATGTGGCGACTGCCAAAAAACTTACATCGGTCAAACTGGTAGGAACTTTAATAAACGAATAGCAGAACATAAAAGGGCTTTCAATAATAGAAAAACAGATTCGACATACGCACTTCACCTTCTAGATCATAATCATTTTAATGACAAATTTAAAATTCTTCACATTCAAAATAAAGGCCTTAAGCTATCTTTGTTAGAATCTATGGAAATCAACAAATTAAAAAACACGGATATTATTCTGAACGACCAACTTGAGACACACAGTTTTCCCCTCCTGAACCTATTTCATTAGAGACTATAAATTGTGAAAGCATGCCAAAAATAGATCACTTGAGAAAGGCAATCAGCCGAAACAGCTGTAGTGATAAGAGTTAAATAAATTTTGTGGAAGTGAAAACAAAGTTTTGAGTGTTTTATTGTTACATAAAATGAATTTTCATCAAGTAACGGTCGAATCCATCAATTATTTAAATAGTAAAATATTTAATTTTTAATTTAGAACCATATTTATATTGTGTCAGATTTCTTAGGATGAATTTTTTGATCATAATTGTTACACTAAGTTTTTACTTAACAAATTTTATATCTTCTGCATTTTTAATAATTTTTTGAAATGTTGTGTTTTAATTATATGCTTAAGTACTTAATATTTAAAATTGTAAGATTAGCTGTTTGAAAGTGTATTTTAAGTGCATAAATTTTACTCTAGTAATTATTTTATTGATATTATAACCTTAATGATACTAAAACTTTATATATATTTATTAGGTATATATAAGGTTTTATTAATTTCATTTCCCTAAAAATATTTCTGTAATAAATTGAAGTTTTCAAAATATCAATTTCCTAAACATTCAAATTAGTTTAATTTTCTAGTAGACCTTACAGCTGACTATCGGACTACCGACGTCATAGAATGCGGTGTTGCCTTTTTTACTTCATGGATTGGAAGTAAAGGTGGCTGTGGTCTACCACATTTATCTATGATTGTCTAGAAATTATTCGAGATTCATCGATAATTCGTTGCCTTAGATCTGCAAGACTTGTTGGTTTAACTGAATGGGAAATTTCTGAACACGAACAAAAAAAATCTGCTTCAATTGTATGGAAAGACGACCAGGGACAAATATGTGGTGTTGAAGTGGCACTAAATGAAAACTTTGGAAACGGCTTCTTAAAAAACTGGAACCATCATATTTTCCTTTTAAATTAGTTCTATTCGACACAAATATCTTTGAATATAGAAATAGTGGTTACTCTTCCAAATTCGATATATTACGTAGAGTAAAATTCCACTATTTTCAACAAATTATGCCAGCTTTTTGCAAAACTACGCAACGACTGTTCTCTTTGATCAAATCTTTAACCATAAACTTGAATTCATTCCCCTTGACCTAATACCGGCCGACTACTTATGCCACCCTTTTCAAATCTAACCTGTTCTTGCAACCGGAACAACCCAAATTTCTCGTTAACATTGCAAAACGACCTTGAGTCAAACAGCTTTTTAAAATCGTAGAAATAAACACGTATAAAAGAACAAAAACATATTTTTCTTTTACATCACAAATAAGTAGTGAAATATATATACTCAGGTCAGTTTTTTCAACATGCTACAATACCACCGGAATGATTCCCATAGATTTGCTCAAATCCATCTTTGTAGAAATACCTAAAAAACAGAATGCAAAAAAATGTTCAGAATATCGATTAATTAGCCTAATGAGACATACTCTTAAAATTAATTACTATTAAACTGGGAATAAGCCACAATTAAAGATAAAAATACATTTATTGACGTTTCAATTTCCACTTCGGAAATCGTTCTCAAAATACAAACAGTAAATTAAACAAATTTTGTTTTTTGTTACATAGTGAAAAATTCTTCTAATAATTTAATTTTATCTGACTCATTTATATTGACAATTCAGACATACATTATGCATTTTAAAGTAGACGACTTTAAAATGATATTGCCAATATTGTTGAGTTGCGCTCCTGGGACGACTTTACTTATAAGATAGTTCATTCGATTACATGAAATCAACTTTAACTTGAGAATATCCGTCAGAAAAAATCATAGCATGTAATTCGTCTTTAAAAAGACAAACACATGACATGATGACAGTAAAATTCTCCTGTTAGTGATTCCATAGTAAATTATGAGGGAAAACCAGGAAAAAACCTCATAATACTATCCCGACATTGTAAGTATTTGTTCGTGAATTTAGTTTACCTTCAACAAACATCAAAATTCTGATTTTATATGTTACGTTATTTAAAAAACATAAATGATGTATCCTCTATATGTTACTGACTTACTAATACTGGTATTTTCTTATTAATAACTTCCTCTTTCAATATTGGTAACCAGATCCTACTACATTCTGCCGAAGAATTTGCGACACAATTGGCCTCATTTAACATAATTAGAGCCGCTTCTTTGATTTTTCTTTTTTTACCATCCGTTTCTTTTAGGACTACATTTGAATTACTCCATTGAACCCTATGTTCATTATCCCATGCATGTTTACAGATTTGAGATCTATCAAATTCTTTATTTTTAATATAGGATTGATGTTCACTTATTCTAACATTTAATGGCCTTGATGATTCACCTAAATAAAACTGATCGTATTCACAAGGTATTTTATAAATGCAATTCTTTGTCCTTTCTTGTTCATTGTTAGGTTTGGTTTTGGACAAAATAGATCTCAACGTGTTTGTTGTTTTGAATGTTGTTGAAATGTTGAATTTATTTCCTATCCTTTTAAGTTTTTCTGATAGTCCTTTTATATACGGTATTGTTATTTTCCTCATATTATTCCTTGTGTATGCTGTAGGATCTCGTTCTAAGTTGTTCTGTTCTATTCGATCGATTGTTGAAAATTCCTTATTTATAAACGATAAAGGATAATCATTTTTTAATAAAACAGATGTTAACAAATGTTTCTCCTCCAAGAACGAATTTTCATTAGAACAAGTAATTTTGGCTCTATCGTATAAGGATTTAATTATTCCCTTTTTTACATTAATATTGTGATTTGATTTGAAATTTAAATATCTATTGGTGTGTGTTGGTTTTCTATACACCTGAGTCTCATATCCAGTATCGTTCTTAGAGATTAAAACATCCAGGAAAGGTAGCGTGTTATTATATTCCTTTTCCATGGTAAATGTTATTGTCTCTTCTTTATCGTTTATATCATTTAGGAATGTGTCCAACAACTCTGATCCATGAGGCCATATTGAGAATACATCATCTACATACCTCCACCATACTGTGGGTTTGAAATTTTGTTTAGAAATGATATTTGTTTCAAAATCTTCCATAAATATATCGGCTAAGAATGGAGATAAACTAGAGCCCATTGCTAGACCAAAATTTTGTTTATAGAATTCATTATTTAGTTGAAAATATGTATTATCAGTACATAATGTTAATAACTCCATTATAGCCGATATGTTTAGTCTTGTTCTAGTTGCCAATGAATCATCACCCTCTAATTTTGTCTTGACTATATTTAAAGTCTTATTTATTGGCACATTCGTAAATAAACTATTTATGTCAAAACTTACCAAAGTATGATTTGAATTAAATTCAATATTTGATAATTTATTTAAAAAATGTTGTGTATTTTTTATGAATGTGTCATTTTTATTTGTAAATGGTTTTAAAATATTTAATAAAAATTTTGATAGTTCACTACAAGGAGAATTCATGGTACTACAAATGGGTCTAAGTGGTATATTCGTTTTATGAATTTTCGGTACTCCATAAAAATGAGGAGTCTTACTGTAATGAGGTGTAATTAATCCTCTCTGATAATTTGTTAAAACATCTTTAAACTTGAATAAAGTTCTATATATTTTGTTTTCCAAAGGCTTTGTTGGATCTTTTGTTAATTTTGTATAAGGTCCGTTTATTAATAGATCTTTAATTTTATTTTCGTATTGAATTTTATCCATTATCACAGTTGCATTCCCCTTGTCTGCTGGTAGTATGATTATGGAGTCGTCATTTTTTAAAGTTCTTATAGCCTTTAGTTCCTCTTTGCTAATGTTTTGTTCAATTTTAGTAGATTTTTCCAATTCAAGCTTCAGAACAATATACTCTTAAAATTTTCCCAAGAATACTTTACAAAAGAATTAGACGCAAATGCGACGAAGATCTAGAAGTTACCCAATTTGGTTTAAGAAATTCTATGGGAACCACGGCCTTATACAAAAATGCCGTGATCTAAGCAAATATGTATTTGCGTGTTTCGTGGACTTTAAAAAGGCATTCGATAATCTACAGCATGTAATATTAATGCAAATACTGAAAAATATCGGAATATATGACAAGAATATTCGTGTTCACATAGTTCACAAAGTGACATATTTGGTACCTGTGATACTGGGCCAACTAGATCCAGACATAGAAATAAAACGTAGAATAGCAATGACTAAAACTTTTATGAAAATAAGTCATTTGCTAGGTGTTAAAATGATCACTTTAGAAACTGTAGGAGGTATATTCATATCTGTTGTGTTATTTTAAAGTAAAATAATATATGACTTTTTCTCTCTGAACATAGACACACAATTTATTTCGTTAAATATGACATCTTTTGTATATGGACTACCAAAATGACTTTTTTTATTTTATTTTTAGGCCTATTTAGAAGAACTAATTAGGTTGTATCAGGTAAGCTATATTTATTATTATATTACATTTTTACCTTTTAGAATGAGAAATCGACCTTAATGATACCTATTTTTTAAACTTTTAATATAAATATATTATCAGTATTACATCCAGGAAAACGTTGTTTTTTTTTAATTTTTGCATAATAATTCTGCTTCCTAAAACTTTTCGGCGAAATAGTAAAAGATTTAAAAAATAATTAAATTTGTAGTATGAAGGTTGATAAGGGCTACATTTTAAAATTATTTTGAAATATACAGGGCGTCCCAATAAAGTGCGGCGTATCAAAGTTATATTTTTTCTTATGGGACACCCCAGACTATATTTTATTGCATTTTCTAATTTTGGGCAAAAAATATGGTATAGCTTTATTCTTCTTCTTCTTCTTCTTCTCGTGCCACTCCTAGCGGAGATTGGAAATCATCATGGCCACTGCGACTTTGTTAGCAGCGCGCCTAAAAAGTTCAATCAAACTACACCCGAACCATTCACGTAGATTACGAAGCCACGATATTTTTCTTCTTCCCACACTTCTTTTGCCCTTAATTTTGCCCTGCATGATGTTTCTTAAAAGTTCGTACTTTTCACCTCTCACAATGTGCCCCAAGTATTCCATCTTTCTAGTTTTTATCTCATTTAGAATTTTGCATCTTTTGTCTAAAGTTTGGAGTACTGGCGTGTTAGTAACGCGGTTCATTCATGATATTCTGAGAAAGCGCCTATAGCACCACATCTCGAAAGCTTCGATGTTTTTATGGTCAACTGTTTTAGTGTCCAAGCCTCAACTCCATATAACAGGGTAGAAAAGACATAACACCGCAGCATTCGTATTCGTAACTTTATATTGATATCACGATTGCAAAAGAGTTTACGCATTCTATTAAAGACTGATCTAGCGATTTCTATTCTACATCAAATCTCTTTTGTTTGATCAGTATCGTCTGTGATCCAAGCACCTAGATATTTATAACAGGGCACACGCTCAATCGTTGTGTTTTCTATTACAAGATTAGCTCTGATGTTCTTTGATTTCGTGATTACCATAAATTTAGTTTTTTTCAAATTAATTTTCAAGCCGTAACTGTTACAGTATATATTGAGACTTTGAACGAGATGTTGTAGTTCTACTAGCGTTCCCGTTAGGAGAACTGTATCGTCAGCATACCTTATATTGTTGATCGTCTCACCATTTATTATCAGACCAAGATCTTCTTCCTCGAGTGCTTGTTCACAGATAGCTTCACTACACAGATTAAATCAAAGTGGCGATAAGATACATCCCTGCCGGACTCCTCGACGGATTTGAATTTCTTCTGTTAGTCTACCCTCAACCTTGACATTTGCTGTTTTATTCCAATATAGATTGCATATAATTCGAATATCTCGGCTGTCTATATTTTTCTTTATTAGAACTTGTCTTAGTGATTCATGTTGTACTTTGTCAAAGGCCTTTTCGAAATCAATAAAGCAGGTGTAAATTTCTTGGTTCATGTTTAAGCATCTCTGTGAGAGAACGCTCATTGCACACAGAGCCTCCCTTGTACCCAGCCCTTTTCTGAATCCCATCTGAGTGTTACTGATGTCTACGTCTAATTTCCTATATATAGTGTTATAGGACTTCTCTAAACCTATGTACAGAGTGTTTTGAGTTATGTGGAATATTCTTAAAATGTAAAGCTTTAAACGAAGACTAATTCCTAACTTATTTAAGAAATCCTACTAAAATTGGTTATATCCAAATAGTTGGATATTGGTTAAATGTATTTCATGATTAATAATTATTAAACATTTATTTACAGAGTGTTCAAAACTTGCTGTTTTATTATTGGATTATTCGATGTGTAATATAAGGCTTATTTTAAATGGAACACCCTGTATATGATTCGTATTACAATGGTTACTGCATAACCCATAGACAATTTGCATAATTTCAACGTTTTGCAGCTTTTTCTTAAATTCGGTAAACGCGCATTCACGTGAATTTATTTTTCCATCTATTAAGTGATAGCCGAGCTAATTTCTTACTATCAAAATGCTAACTTATTATGGTAACATCAACAAAATCCTTAGTTTGCAGCTTTTAGTTTTAATTTTATCTTTATGTACAGTTAACTTAAAAGTTAGAACAGTATGGATAACGACCATTGGCTTAAAATAGAGGTTTTTGGATAGTTGATTATTTAACGTAGTTATTTTGTAACTAATTTAAAAAATTATTACACAATTCCAATTTTTTGGCAAGTTAGCACGTAAGTTATGACATGGATTCATTTAAGTACAGTTATGAAAAAAAACTGTTTTTTTTTGAAAATCTTAACTAGATATCATTAAAATAGAAAGTAAATGTAAAAAAAGTAAATGAAAAGTATATAAATTTTAATATTGTGACATATCACCTTAATAATATAAATACTAAACTAGTTTGGTAAGTAATAATATTAGTTAGTTCATTATTATCTTCTTTTCAGAAATTTCAATTACCGCAGGAGATAATAAGAACTAAACAGGTTGAAAAAACCTTTGTGTCAGTAAACATTAATGATCTAGATAAGAAGTATGGTTTAATAGATTGGAAAACATTTTTTGACAAATTAGTTAATAATCAAACAATTACTGGAACCGAAAAAGTGTTGGTAGCGTTTCCTGATTACTTTCGAGCTGTATTTGCAGAATTTAAAAAAATGGATCAAAGGTAATATTGGCGTTGTAATTATTGATTGTAAAATTTAAAGATTACATTTTTCAAAAATAAATAATAATTATATGTCTACAAGTTTGCCAAGCCTAGGAACAAGTTTGAAAATCTTAACAATCGCCACGCTGACATTAATATTAAGGAAACGAAACAATAGAGTAATAGAGGAAATGGATTTAAGGTAGATTTGATAGCTTGATGTTTTCTTAACAAAATAATTAATAAACAAATGAAAAATGTGTTTTCTGTTTGTCAAAAGAACAATTGTTCTCACTAAAATACAAAAAACTTTAATTCCGGCCTATGTTGGAAAATTAGGGTAATTCTGGCCTACTGGTGATTTAATTTCAGTCTGTATATTTTCGATAGCTTAAAGTTTTAATTTTTTTTATCTGCTATTTCGTCTACTACTTCTGGAAAATGTTTCTATTCGTAAACTACAATGACGACAATGACTCACCTAGTTCGTAGTAGCCCATCTCTAAATCCATAGAATTGTTAGCTTTTGGTTTTCTAGTTTATTATGTGTTTTTCTCCCAAAGTTAGCATTTTTGTCTAAAATTTCATTTTGTTTTTTATTTGCTCCATCTATATCTCCTCTATATTTTTCTTTATTCTCAATGTTTAGATTTAATTTGACAGCTTTCGAAATTTCCATTTTTTATGTTTTGTTGCCAAAATCAATCAAAATCAGATTCTGCATTTTTCTTTGTGACGTTACGTGCTCTTTATTTCTTCCTTTAAGCTTTTGTCTTTTTCCGTGCCAGCTTTTTATTTATTTTAGTTTCTTTTCTTCTCTGGTACTCTATTTAAACATCAGAAATTGCTACAACAGGTGTTAATTGTTATGCAGCCTTTCTTTTGGACATTTGAGATATTTTTCTGGGGAAATAAAATACATTTTTAAATAGAAATCATGAAATATTTTGCGCCATGTAGCATTGACATTAAAGTCAGCAAATACATATTCTTTTTTGGTTGATTATCTCAAATCCTTGCGGTAATCTAGTAATCAGTATCGGAAAACCTCACACGTCGATTCTAATTTAACCTAACTTTCTTTTATGTTTGAATAATTTTTTCAATTCACTTCCAATATAGAATTAAAACTTACTCACATTATAAAAATGTTATAATATAGAAACCCTCATAGGTATAACTTCATCTGGATTAATAACATATTTGAGTCCTTGTTACGGAAGTAGGGCATCCGATAAGCATATACTTACTAATGAAAAAGTTATCTTAAAATTAGACCCTAACGATGAAATTATGGTAGATAAGGTATTTTTAATTGAAAATAAATGTAAAGAACATTGAGTCAGATTAATAAGACCTCCCTTTAAAAAAAAAAACAACTTTCTAAAGAAAAATCAGTGCAAACAGCTGAAATCTCAAGAGCTAGAGTGCACGTTGAACCAGCAATTCAAAGAATAAAAGTATTTAAAATTATGAAGGAACAAATTGCTACTTACCTTTTGCCATATTGTGATAACATATTAAAAGTAATTTATGCAATTAAGTTTTAAAATGAACAAGGTTTATACAGAATGAAATCTGACAATAATTGTTAAAGTTCAGTTAAATTGTATTTTTGCTAGGAAAGTATTGGGGTAGTTCTGATTTTTTTCATTCCATATGTTTTTTGGGGTGCTTAATCCGAATCTGGGGTTTGCGGACAAAATTTCGTGACGCAACATTAAAAAAAAGAGAATAAACCGTTTTTTTTTTCTTGTTTTTTCGGGTTTTTTTTGCTTAAAACTCGAAAACTATCAACTTTTGGTAAATGGTCTGTTTAAAAAATTAAAGTACTTGATTAAAGTACTAAAGTACTAAATTTTCTACAAATACCACTATTTAGTTTTTTTTTTCAGGCGAATCGTTGGGTTTCTAGTGCGAGTTGAAAATTGTAAATTTTTAGCATTTGATGCAAAACCCACTTTTTACATTTCAATATTTACTTTTTATGGATGCTGTCATTTAATAAATGTCACCTAGTTTTCCACACAAGTAGTTCTTCTTCTTCTTCTTCTACTTTTTGTAGATCTTTCGATCTGTTTAATTCTGAAGCTGCCTCTGGTTAATTTCTTGGGAGGTAGATTGCCAACTATCCCTCCATCTTTTAGGTGGTCTTCCGGGGGGTCTTGAACCGGGCGGATTGTTTTCTAGGGCAATTTTTGGGAGTCTATTCTCATCCATTCGTCTTACATGGTTGTACCACATCCTCTTGCGCTGCCTTCCCCATCTTACAATATCTTGAATTTTGCACTGCTCTCTAATGTTTGTATTTCTCACTCTGTCTCTTCTTGTTTTCCCCATTATTGTTCTTAGGGTTTTCATTTCGGCAACCCTTAGCATCTGTTTCGTTTTGTTGGTATCTTCGCGCACTTCTATGCCATATGTCATGATCGGTCGTATGCAAGTCTTATAGATTCTAATTTTACTATCTGTGCGCATATACGGATTTGACCAGACTATCTCCCGCAGACATCCTGACAGTGCAGATGCTTTGTTGATTTGACTCCTTAGGTCCTTTACTGGGTCGTGGGTGCTTGATATATCTATGCCCAGATATCTGAATTGCATTACCTGTTCTATGGGGTTGTCCTCAACCACTAACTTACATCTGAGCGGATCTTTTGCTATTGTCATACATTTAGTTTTGTTGGTAGAGATGTTCATATTTAGTAGTCGGCTTGTTTGAAAGAACTGAAAGAGCTGCCTTTGGAGATCATCTTCTGATTCGGCAATAATTGCTGCATCGTCTGCGTAACACACCATACCAATTCTTTTGTTGCCCATTCTATATCCGAGATTAAGAGATGTTACTTTGTTGATAATTTTGCCCATGAGAAGATTAAACAAGAAGGGGCTTAAACTGCCGCCTTGTCTAATTCCTCCCGGTGTTGGAATATTTTCAGTGAATTCGTCTCCTGCTCTAACTTTGGTTACATTGTTGTTATTTAGATTATGGAGTATCTTTGTTATACTGGTCGGTGTTTCATTTTCTATTAATATATTTAGGATGTCTCCCAGGCGAACTCTGTCAAATGCCTTCGTCAAATCAATGAAGCAAATATACGCTGGCATGCCGAACTCTATAGCTTTTTCTTTTATTTGTTTTATTATAAAACACAAGTAGTTAAAAAGAAAAAAGGGAAAAATTATGCAAATTCAGTAGGTGGGTAGAACTCGTAACAAAATAAAAAGCCGTTGTCTTTTAGAAGGCCCTGGCTGAGATTCTTTAATAACGATGAGTCCTGGTTCTGCTTGTCATTTAGTCATTTATCAAGAAGGGATGAAGATTGCAAAATAGATTGTGAGATTAAACTTACCTTCCGCATCGTAGTGAGGTTCTTCGATGGCATCGAGTCCTGGCTTAGGGTTTGATTACTCCATCCGCGTCGGGAGTCGTTCTTCTGGAAAATAAAAAGAGGAGAGACACATATCATATATCAAGGAGAGATGAATGACTACAGAATAACTTGTCAGATCCAACATACCTCTCCCTCTTTCTTCAGTTTTTTCTACGTCTATGTCAGAGCTGTCTTCTGGGGGCTCAACATTGTTACAAAGTCCTTCGCATGATGCGCATATTGGGGAACAATGGAGTTTTGCCTTCCTGCATCCACAATTGCGTTGACAGTCTTGTTTACATTTACATGAAATGTACCGGAGCATCGAGTTTGGTGCAGGGTCCAAAGTAGTTGGTGCTGACACAAGACCACTACTAGTTTTTTGCCATCCCCACTTACTTGTTTTTTTTTGTTGCTCGTTAGGTGTGGCTTGACCGGATAACCACTGCTGCACCTGATAGTAAACTCTCAGTGAATGTTCTCGTGCAGCAGCTTCCTTATAGAGCCGTGAGAAACATGTTTCCTGCTGTGGCAATCTCATCTTGATTTGAATTAGGGTATTTGAAAGATCCAATTACGGATTGCAAATATTTCTTCCTCTGCAGGACTTTAAGAAATTTTAGTTTCCCTTGATTAAACAATGCAGCAGTAGTATCACAACCACTCATCGCATGCAGGAATAAAATATGATCCAATAGGATTTTCTCAGCAGCCAGATGAGGGTTGTAGAGGCTTTGCAAAACCTTTCCTTTTCCTGGCTTAAAAAAATACATTTTTTATATCAGGGCTACAAAGGCCAATCAAAATGACCAGTAGGTCGATATCTTCTCCCACCACTGTCACATGTTCATTTGACGGGGCCATCTCAAGAGCTGTTGAGATGATTAGGATATCAGCGTCTTCCACAGCTTGCTTTGAATGAATTTTTGCATCATGAAGTTTCTCCATTAACACAGATATAAACCGGCTCTTGTTTTTTGGATTTGCAAGAAAACTACCCTGCAACACAGTGGGCACCATCATTTGCACTTTAGACCAAACTGTTCGTCTGTACAATAACAAAAAAGTTAACAGTTTTCGAGTTTTAAGCAAAAAAAGCATAAAAAAGCACAAAAAAACTATTTCTTCTGGTTTTTTAAATGTTGCGTCACGAAATTTTGTCCGCAAATCTCAGATTCAGATTTAGCACCCTAAAACACATATGGAATAAAAAAATCAGACCTTCCCCAAAACTTTCCTACTAGTATCACTTTAGAGTACAAATTTACTAAATCAGTTTTCAGTAAATATTTTTAATGTACTATAATGACATGTTTAAAATAAATAATTTTTAACATAGCTAACATTTTTTTACAAATTCTACATTATACTCTACTGGAATTGTAAAATATGAAGCTAGCAATAAATAAAACAGTTACAATTTTTCATACAGAGAATAAATATGCATAATTGTATCTAAATCATTGGAATATTGGATAAAACATACTTGCATTATAAAAAGTGTAACACTATAAAAAATCCTAATAGGTATAACTTCCTTGGGATTAATATCTAACTTGAATTCTTGCGATGGAAATAACACATCGGATAGGCAAAGCGTTTTGAATTGAGGAGGAATGTCAAGAACATTTAGTGAAATGGATACGTCCGCCCTTTTTACAGAAGAGGAAACAACTTTATAGAAAAACATCTCTGCAGACAGCTGCCATCACAATTTTCCAGTCTCCTGAATTGCTTCAGCCAATTTGTTTTACATATTTTTTTTCTAGTTTACTGCTTTAGAATTCACTTTTTCATGTTTCTCATCACAGCCTAAATTATGGTTCAAATATAGGTGTTTGTTATATAGATTTGTTTAAATTATATATAAATAAGTGTGTACTTGCGTTTTCTTTAATGCTGGCTTCTTGTTTAAGTTTGACAGTAGGTTTTTCCTATTTGTTATCAATAAATAAAATTTACTAAAACATACTGGATTTCTGTCAGACAATCAACAAATTCAATCTATTATGTTACATTCTAGCATAATTTTGCAGTTCTTTTGTAATGATCTACAAATAGAAAGAACAAAAACCAACTGTATCAATACAGCATAAAAGTACGAATACCAAAAGCAAAGTCAACAGTGCATGACAATGATTCGCGTAACTAAAACACAACATTAATTAACTTTCTTCTTTTATTGTGATGAAAACAAAATGAAAAGTAGATACTAAGTTTAAAGGATAGTTGCCGTCTTTCTTATGATAATTAGATATAAATAACATATATTTATAAATTTATAAACAAATTTATAAATTTTAAACTATATTTAGTTCATATATTGTATATTTAGTTCATAAGTCCAAGTTATTACAAACAATTTAAACAAAAGCTATGCAAAAGTGTACTTCTAATTCTACTGTTACGCTTGACAATAAATACATTTTTTCAATAAGTAATTACAAGTAGTTCTAATTAAGTAAACTTTTAAATATTGTTTCAGCAAACTGGTCAATATGTTTCAAGAATTCACAAGATTTCAACTATACCGAGCATTTGCCGTTTCACGAAGAACAGATAACAGAGAAATGTACTGCATGAGTTTAGCTCACGAAATAATGCCAGATATTGTATCAGACATTGTCTACGACCTCAACCCTGCCAAGAAAATTTTTTTCTCCGTGTATCAAGCAAACAAAATATTTTCTGATCTAAAAGATGCCTTAAAACAATCCATTGAGGATTCAACTTTGGATGATACCTCGAAAGAGAAATTCGGAAAGAAACTTGAACGATTAAATTTGGGACTTATATCAGTCGGTGACAAAAATACTACTAGGGATAACTATAGATATCTAAAAGTTAGAGCCGATTTCCAAGAAAACTTGATGTCTCTGTTAAAAAATTACAGAAAGTTTATATATAGCTTTGTGGGACATAATTCAACGGCGGCGTCTCTGTAAGTAAAAATTTTATTAAAAGGTAACAGATTCTAAGGTTATAAAATCTTTGTTGTTAATTTTGCAATTTAAAGTACGTAAATTACAGATTGGGTTTATTCGGGGAATTATTTACAGGGAACAACAAATAACAAAATGAAAAGGTAACAATAAAGTATTGTTGATATAAGGTTGAATGCTCGAATAAATGAACTTTGATAAAATGAAAGGCAAATATCGACCACAGTTTTATTAATTAAATCTTGTCCAAGTACTTTCGCTTCCTCAAGCATCTTCAGGGGCAACTGAAATAAGCCAAGAAACGTTTTTATTTTTAATGAAGAAATTGATTAACTTCGATAAAAAGCTTAATGGATGATAAAAGTTTTTTTTTGATGAACGTTTTAGACTTACTTCGTCAATATTGAGCTATCCAACAATCGCAGAATGTCATAAACTTGAAAATAAACATAAAATTGTACATAACACGTTACATTAACACTAAACAAGGACAAACAGTTTAAAATTATTAGAAAATAGTCCAAGCTTTAAGTCGGAGACTTTAACGCAAAGGTTGGGGAAAAAAAGTAGAAGAATGTACAGGAGGGCATGGTCTGGGCAACAGAAACGAAAGGGGTGACAGGCTTATCGAATTTTGCCAAAACAATAATTTTGTTATAGCTAATACATTGTTTAAAATGCCAAAGAGAAGACTATATACCTGGAAGTCACCAGCAGATCTAGAAGAGATATGTAAGAAACCAAATAGATTACAACCCAGTAGTGACAAAAATTAGGCTCAAAATGAAAATAATAAAACAAAGAACAAAAAATGCAAAAATCTATACAAGAAACCCACTCATAAGGCAACGCCTGACAGATGAAATCAACAACATATTAACGAATGTTAAAGAACAAATTCTGCAAAATACTGAGACGGATAATGAGACTGAATATTTTCGAGGGTTCTTTATTAGCTGTGAATTGGTGCTGTATTAGGTCGTTTTTTTTTGTAATATAGGTTTTAATCCAAGTATCTAAGTTGAAAAACTGTTTATTTTCGGCAGCTTCAAATCACAATTCAAAATTCTAGAGACACATACCTACTGGTTTCAATTTTACAATAAAAGTGATTTCTAAAATTTTAACATCTCAATAAACATTTTTATTTAGAGCTAGACTGGCAGATTTTGTAACTCTTATTCAAGAACAAAACTCAATGTTAATAAAATTTCATTTTAATAAAAAAAAAGCCACAAAAGCTTAAATAAACACAAATTTCACGATTTTAAAAACGACAAAGTACGTCTTCAGTGGGTTCACAGCACACTAACAGCACACTAACAAAAATCATACGAATAAGCTAAATTTTGCTGTGCATATTAATTTTGCTATCCAAAAAAAAAACAAAAAGGTTTACTACTTTTACCCCTAAAACCCCCCTACGGAGGTGGGGTTAAAAACGCAAAAAAAATAATTTACCAAGAATCTGTACACCGTAGAAAAAAATGTAGTCGAGGTAAAACAAAAATTATAGTTTATTCGTCTTCCGGGTTTGGACCGTGTCATTTGTGAGTGACCCAAAAGTGGGTTCATCTCGACGTTTCGCTACAATTGTATGTAGCTTCTTCAGGAGAACAAAGAAAAAGAAAAAGAAAAAGAAGACAGGAAGATGGGTAGTTAGCAACGGTAACTCAGTTACTCAACGCAACCAGAGGCGAATACTAACTACCAAGATAGGCATTTGGTCACAGTAACTCAACTACTCAACGCAGCCAGAGGTGAAAACCAAATGCCAGGACAGGGATTCACGTCCAACAGCTCAGAACACTAACGCGTCGAGAGGCGGGGAGTGAATCCAGGATTCCAGGTAGCGAAACCTCGAGATGAACCCACTTTTGGGTCACTCACAAATGACACGGTCCAAACCCGGAAGACGAATAAACTATAATTCTGACTCTGGCCGTGGAAGCCTACGATTTCATTTAAAACAAAAATGTTTATAAGCATTTTTTGTGTAGAGTGAACTAAAATGAGTGAATTTCTCTTAGAAACAATCTTGAAGCGACCGTCGATTTCGCATGTCAGTTACTGCGTGAAATAAATGGTCGAAAAAAATTTGTATCAGTTCAACGGTAAAAATTCGATATCCTTTGATCCAAGTGGTCAACTCTGACGACTTTATTAAAAGTTCGAGCATTAGAAGACTTGGTTATGTTGTTATTTGGTATTACCAGTATTATTTCGTATTAACATAAATGGTACTCATGAGAGGTGACACTAAACATAATTGTTCCAAACTATCTGTTTACTAAAGTTGTTACGGTCTACTTTTAGATTTTCGTACTGCACGTACTTGACAGATTCTTTTTGCATACCAAATTGTATTTTCGTTTTTTTTATTCAAATGGTCGAATTCCGATCACAATCCCATAGTAGCTGTTACGCAATTAAAATTAAAAAAGGTGAACAAAAAGAAGTCTCGCAAAAATATTGATACAGCCCAATTACAAGACGAGAAACTTAAGGAATTAGTTCAAAGACAACTGAACGAAAATTTAATTTGGGAAAATATTGGTGAAAACGTCGATGAAGTTGGGCTTAAATAAAATCATAACAATAGTAAAAGAAATTTGTGTGAGAAATTTACAAGGCAAGTCAAAACTAAAAAAGCAGGCTTGGATGACAGATGACATATTGGATTTGATGGAACAACGGCGACTAGCGAAAAACAAAGAAACACTTTAACACAGCATAGAAATAGAAATTCGACGTAAAATACGAGAAGCAAAGAGTCAATATCTAGACAAACACTGTCATGACATTGAAGAACTTGAAAAAAGATACGACACGTTTAACATGTATAAAAAAGTGAAAGAAGCAGCTGGTATCTTCAATAAGAAACAATCTGCTTTGCTACAGGATGAAAATCTTAAAGACTGGAAAAATTACGTACGAATCTATTCGAAGACGATAGGGGTAGTTCACTTACCGATATTACTAACTACGAAAGACCCCTAACAACACGCTCTGAGGTTATAAAAGCCATACAAATATCAAAAGATGGCAGAGCGACTGGTCTTGATGAAATTCCAACTAAAATATATAAGCTTATAAATGATAGCAATATTTTAGAGGCTCTAACTTTGTTTTTCAATACCATTTATACCAGCGGACAACTATCTAATGGTTAGTATAATTCACTGTTTATAGCTCTACCTAAGAAGAAAACAGCAAAAACCTGTGCTGATTATAGAACCATCAGTTTGTTAAACCACTTATTGAAAATACCTGGATGATACTCAGTTTGGTTTCCGTAACGGGTTTGAAACGAGAGAGGCACTGTTTGGAATGAATGTACTTGCTCAAAGATGTCGTGATATATCTGTAGACATATACTGTTGTTTTATTGACTTCCAAAAGGCATTTTGATCATGTTAAGCACTCTATATTGATCGAAGCTCTAAAAGACATTGGCTTGGACGGCAGGGATGTTCGAATAATTGCAAATTTATATTGAAATCAAACAACATCAGTTAAAGTAGATGGTGTGTAATCATAGGCTCTCAATATTAAAAGGGGAGTATGGCAGAGATGCCTCTTGTCATCCCTGCTTTTTAACGTTTACTCCGAAATAAATTTCAGAAAAACACTTTCTGAAAAACAAGAAGGAATACTTGTGAACGGCGAAGTAATACCAAACTTGAGCAAGTTGATAAAATCGTTTACTTTGGACAGCAATTAAATTGTAATTCAGAAAGTCACAGCGAAATTAGATCTAGAATAGAGCAGACTAGAGTTGCTTTTAGAAGGATGTCCAAGGTGTTATGTAACAGAGACCTCAAATTGGCATTGAGGATCCGCCTACTTCGCTGCTACGTATTCTCGGTCTTACTTTATAGTGTCGAGTCCTGGACTGTGAATAAAATCGATCTAAGTCGCCTTGAGGCTTTCAAAATGTGGTGTTATAGAAGAATTTTAAAAGTTTTCTGGTTGGAAAAGATTCGAAACTCCACAATACCAGCACGTCTCAGCAAGACTACTAAGATCATAAAAAGTATAAAGCAGAGAAAGCTGAAATATTTCGAACATGTAATGAGAGGTCCCAAATATCGGTTGCTACAAAATATCATGCAAGGAAAAATAACAGGCAAACGCAGTCCAGGACGAAGAAGAACCTCATGGTTGAAGAAATTGCGAGATTGATATGGTGTTGGTACAAGCATGCTATTTAGGGTGACAGTGAATAAAATTAAGATAGCTATGATGGTAATCAACGTTCTGAAAGGACATGGTACATGAAGAAGAAGAAGTTGAATTTAGAAAAAATTGGTATACGACTTTTTTTATCTACATGGTACCTTCTACCTATACCCTTAAGCAACGCACTATTTTTGGTGACACCCCGTATATATGTATCTAATATTATCAGATTATTTTTTCTTTTTAATTTTTTTTTTATATCTTAGTATGATGACTTATCTTCGGGTTTATCACACTAGTAAGAATTTTCATAATCTTGCCAAAAATTATAGCTCGTTATACTCGTATTATGTACTCCGCCATAATAAGATTTTAACCTGCTACGACATTATGTATACGAGTTGATATATTAAGTGTTGTTTTATTTTAAAATTTCAAAAGGTAATTATTCACGTTTGACAGCAATTGATCTAAACCTCGTTCAAAACCCGCTTCTTTAGAAAAGTTATTAAGAACATTGTTGTGATCAGTTGTGTAAGATATTTAAAAGTTTATCTATGAATATTTAAAAGAAAAAAACTGCATCTTCAGGAAAATCAGTCTTCTGGATGAAGACTAATCAATGTTAAAAGTAAAGAAAAACTTATATTTACATAAATTGGGAAATTAGGCCAGTTATTGATACAAATTCTCATATTCTAAAGTTAAAATATGGGCAAAAACTAGTAAATATGACTGTTTTTCCTTAATGTACTACTAATAAGTTTATAAAAATCTCTTAGTAGTAGTTTTATTGTAGTATGTAGTAGTATGCAGTATTTGAAATGGTTTTGTGCAGGTATTCTGGCTTTGCAAGATGTTAAGATTTTCAATTTTTTTTTGTATTCAGAAAGGTGTGGTCAATACACTTGAAGCAATAAATTTTTTGAACTGTTATGCAGTTATAAAAAATTCTAATTACTGCAAACAAAATAATTTTAACTAAGTCATTAACGTCGTCAGTTTTGCATTTTTATTTTGTTGCTTAATTAATGCAAAGTCACTCTCACATTTTAAAAAAGTATGGCCCATTGCTAAGACTTGTGAATAACATCTGAAAATGTGTCGTTGGCCAATATTAAAACATTTATTGTTAGTATTTATTAATTTTTATTTTATGTCGATAATATCGAAATCAGTTGTAAAATAGCGGTAGATGCACATAGATATTGCCTTTGCCACCAAAATTCCCACTTCATAATCAAATAAATTCTTGTTCCTTGTTAAAATATAAAAAAGAAAGCTTTCAGAACAAATAACAACTTAGACACATATTAAAAACAACAAGAGCCAAAATAAAAAGCACTTACACAGTGGTGTATACAAACAAATGTAGCGACTGCCCAAAACTTACATCGGTCAAACTGGTAGAAATTTTAATAAACGAATAGCAGAACATAAAAGGACTTTCAATAATGGAAAAACAGATTCTACATACGCACTTTACCTTCTCGATCATAATCATTCTTTTGATGACAATTTAAAATTCTTCACATTCAAAATAAAGGCCTTAAGCTATCTTTGTTAGAATCTATGGAAATTAACAAATTAAAAAACACAGATATAATTGTGTGAATGACCACTTGAGACAAACAGTTCTCCTCTTCTCAACCTATTCGATTAAAGACTATAAAGTGTAAACGGATGACAAAAATAGATCACTTAAGAAAGGCAATGAGCCGAAACAGCTGTAGGGATAAGAGTTTATAAAAAATTTTGTAAAAAAAAGTTTTGAAAACAAAGTTTTCAGTGTTTTATTGTTACATACTTTTTTAATATTCCAAATTTCCAAAATATTTCGAAATTGACATAACACTATATCCATACGTAAAATTCAATTCCCTATAAGTCAATAGAACTGTCGTTTTAATAGTGCAAGAAATGAATAGGGGATGGCGGCATAAGACGTTATTCATGACTGACCGACTGTCGTCACCCCCTCACAATATCGCCTCTTCTTTCCCTCGAACGCACGTGTTGCTTTGCTCATCATTTCGAGTTTTCACGTTATTTCTGAATCGGGTATGTAATTTTTATAGTTTTATTTTAAGTTATTATATTCTTCTTGATTTGAATCCAATAATAACATTGTTGTTTTTCTAGTTATTACACTATTGCTGATTTATACGAGCACTTTTTAAATTATTATTTTTACTAACGACACTATTATTGGTTCAGTTCATTATTTTTGACATGTTACGTTAGTGTTGAATTACAACTTTAAATCATTATTGTTGTTGTTTGTAAAACATTTAATAATCACGATCTATGTGTCGATCACCGGATAGTAATAACTCATTTAGAATATGTAGCAGTGTTATTGAAAAACCTTACCAACTATTTTATTTTATAAATTTAGAGTTACTACAAATATTAAACCTGGTGCCCAAATAGAAAACAGTGACGTTGCGAAAGTACAACCATCACCTATACCTTCAACATTTACGAGTCATCAAGTACTTCAAGATATTGACGTAAACGATTTCTTTAGTGAGATGAGTAATATTAAACCTATTACAGAATCCAACCAAAAGCAATATTACATTTCACCGATGCACTTAAATCGGGCGACTTTGATTCCTGTGATTCCGATAGAGATTCGCATTTCATTCCTGGTGTGCAAAGTAAAACCTATAGTTTGCTTCCAGGTTTAACATTAAAACCATCAAGTAGCTCTTCTTCAAGAAGCTTTTCATCGAGTAGATCTTCTACGAGTAGCTCTTCATCAAGTAGCTCGGATAATAGAGTTGTGGATAATTTAAGTCCTTTTAATGGAACTAGTGGGTTAACTAATAAATCAAATATTTCTTCGGAGGAGCAAAACAATAATACTAAGGGCAAAAATAAGATACATAATATTACAACCTGCGTAATGAATCGTATGAATAAAAATCGTATAAATATGTGAACAAAAAACAAATACCTGTAAGGAAATTGGGCCAGACTTGTGGCGAAAAACGCAGGTTAAACTGTCATTTACGAATAAACATGACATCACGACAAGATATTTTTATTGAGTATTGGAGTTTGGGAGATTTGCAAAAACAAAGAGAATTCATTATTAGACATATTATAGAACTTAAACCAAATGCAGATATCCTTTAATACAAAATTTTCTCAAACTAAACACTGGATTTAATTATACAATAACAATGATCACACTAAAGTTAACAAAACATTTTTTAAAGTTTCTCTTGCTATAAACGACCAACCCATTGCTACAGCCCTATCCAAAAAAAAAACAGTAAATAACGTAAATATATAGATTAAGTACAAAATGTTTAAGAATACTGTATTTTGTTATCTGTATCTGTATTTGTTTGATTCTGATACAAACGTAATTAAAACAGCCTTGATTTATTTATTAATACCCTTGATGAAACAGCCTTGATGTTTTTAATTAATATTTAATTAAAAACAACAATTCCCGGTAATAATTGTTAACGTGTCATACAGTCTCTTTATATTGAATGTTAACAAATACCAGGTATCAGTTCCGAAAATTGTTGTAAGTCCAAAAACTAACATAAACCGCAGAAAAAATAGTAAATTAAATTGTAGTAACACAAAATATTGCATAAATATTGTCATAACTAAAAATAATATTTCATTTCAAACATTTTGCTTAAAGCAATATAGTGTTAACTCAAAATTTTAAATACCTTCACTGTCAGTATTTCTATTTAAATAATAGTACAAAAAACCTTCTTTTAATAATAATTAGAAACATATTATGAATCAATTTTTCGTTTACTTGCAATAGGAAATGAATAATAAGTTTTTCGTTGATTCTGAAGAATCATCTTTTTTGAGTTACGACACTATTGTACAATTAGTGCGATATACTTTTGCTGGCAAGGAACCCCATTAAAGGCAAGATTATTAAAATTTTTGATAGCTCGTCATGCAAGGTTATGCCTTGAGTTTGTCTCACCCAACTGGACTAATTTATATTTTTGTTAATATGTTTTTAAAATATTTTATGAAAATTCTTATGTTTATTTTAGACTGAACTTTTTTGTAAGTCCATTTTCCAAAAGACCAGAGTCATTTTACTCCAACGATGCAATAGGTATTATGTCATCAAGTTAAATTTCAAATAGATAATAAACAATGCTTTTATTTTTTAGTGTTGCATCCAACTGTTTATAAATATGTTCCAAGTGGCCTTCCAGAACATATTCGTGTAGCAAAATTGGGATTCTTTTTAGCGCAAGAAATAGCAAAACATTTTGATCCTATTGGACGACTGTTTATGACAAATAATTTAAAATCGAATGACGATTTTTATGATGATTTAGTTAAACATATGAATGAGTTGTTTGACACCTACTACACAAAAACACCTTTTACGTTTCATAAAAGCAATCTTAAATTTAAGGTATGTACTATAAATATTGCGAGCTTTACTTTAAACAATAACAAAGATAATATGTATACATATTATGTATGATAGGTATGATAGGAATTCATTTTCTAAGACTTTATGTTATATTATCTTTATAAAAATGAATGCACACATTAGAATACGTCTTTCTTAACATGTCATTATTTTTCTGTGTCATCTCCCAATCTGAGGTTGGATGTCATCTTCACTATCTTTACTATATCTACCACTGCTGTGTAGAGTTTTACTAAACTTTGTCCTTTAAAGTTTTTAACCATTACAATCTCCTTTTTCCTATACTCCTTCCTTCTCTTATCTTTTCCTGTATTATTAATCTTAGCATCTCATATCGTTTTTAATCCGCTATTTATTATTCCTTAACTTTCACACAGTATTGCTTCTTCATAATTATTACTTCTTCTTCTTCTTCTTCAAGTAATCCAACTTTGGACATATGCCTTCCCCAAATCAATCCAGTGTCTTTTATTTTGCGCTATTTGCTTCCAGTTGTGTCCTCCCATCTTCTTAATATCATCCGCCCATCTCATTTGTGATCTTTTTTTGCTTCTCTTTCCTAAGCATGGTCTCCATTGTTCCCCAAGCTTCCTTTTAATTTGGCAGCATGTTCTTCTGCGTCTTTTACTTTCGTTTTGCTTTTAATCCATTTGTTTGTTTTTTTGTCTGTAAGTCTCACCCCGAGCATTGATCTTTTCATTACTCTTTGTGCTTTTACTATTTTATCCATGTTAGACTTGGTGAGTGTTCACGTCTGTGAGCCATACGTGAGTATAGAGAGCATACACTGATCGTAAATTCTGGTTTTCAAATATTGTTCTATTTTACTGCTTTTTAAGATCCAACTCAGATTTTCAAATCCTGCCCACGCTAATCTTATTCTTCTGGTAATTTCGGCAGTTTGTTTTCATTTGTCAACTTTATGGAATCACTATATATACCTACATTAAATAGTAATGGATACATAACATAACTCCTGTCATAACGTTAGACCGATGTTTGAACTAAATAGGTTCGTTATATATTACGAGTTGTGTTCTTTGATTTTATTAAAGTTTTTATATTATTCTAAGTCTCTTATTCGTTTGTCGATGTTTTTTGTATTTAGAATTTGGATAATTTTTCATGTGTTATTTTGTCAAATGCTTTTTCAAAACCAACGTAATAAACATGTTCATCTACTTCATATCCATGCATGTTTATGCTATCACAATAAAAGCAAAGAACGCCTCTTTGGTTCCTAGTCCTTTTTGTGAATCCAAACTGACTATCATCAATTCCTTCTTCCAGTTCCAGTAATAGTTTAAAAACATGATTTATTATTAATATTGGTCTGTATTGACAGCATTGGTATTTAAGTCAGTCTTCAGCAATTGTATTTTAAGTTGTAGCTTCTTCTTCTTTTTCTTTTTATATAGACATGACTCTGTTTTTCAATGTGCCTCTAGTAAGTTGTCATTCCATCGTTTTCGTGGTTTTCCTACTGATCGTCTTCCTATTGGGGAACCGTCTCTTGCCGTATTTACTACTTTATTTGTTGTCATCCGCCTTATATGATCGTTTTATTATACTCTTCTATTTCTTACCTAGTTTGTGATGTTCTCCACCTTACATCTGTGTCGTATACCTGTACTTCTAGCTCTGTCCCATAGTGCCTTACCATCAATTTTTCTAAGTGTTTTTATCTCTGTTGTTTCTAACATTCTTTTTGTCCTTTCTGTATGAGGTTGTATTTCTGTTGCCTATGTCATTATTTGTCTGATGACTGTTTTGTAATTTCTGCCTTTCGTTTCCTTCACGATATTTTTATTTCTCCATATTGTTTTATTTAGGCAGCATGCGGCACTATTTGCGTTATTTACTTGATCTTTCTCTTCGTTTACGAGCTTTCCATAGCTAGATAATGTGATGCCTACATAATTGAACTTGTTGTATTATCTGACCTTCCAGTTTCAATGTACATCTTAGTAAGTTTGCTTTTGTAACCATGCATTTTGTCTTTGTAGAGGAAATTAGCAAGTTAAACTTTCTGGCAGTTATATTAAATTAAGAGGTATAAGGATGTTTGGTCTCCTTTCTTGAGGTATTCTGTTTTGTCCTATTACTTTTTGAATTAGTTTTAATAGTTGTCTGTTCAAATATGGTCCTTCGTACTTTAGGAGTTCGTTCGGTATTCTGTGCTCTCCTGGCGATTTTCTATTTTTTAATTTCGTTAATGCTTCCTTTACCTCTTCCTCCCCAATATTTATTTCTTCGTTTGTCGTCACCTCTGGTATTGGTGGTTCATCATCGTCACCTTTAAAAAACAGGAATCGAAAATAGTCTACCCATATTTCCTTCTGACTGCGTTTCGTTTTTATTAGTTCGTTCGTCTCTTTTTTTTTCTCCTCTGATCATTCTCCATATTTTCTTTTATGTTCCGTAGAAATCGTGTTCCATCTATTTTGAGAAACCCTGCCAGTGTTCCTTTTTATATTTGTTTAACTAAAGTATTCGTCGTTTCATTTCTGAGTAGTTCAACAGGTAGTCGCAACAGGTAAAGTGTAGCCATTGTTTCGGTAAATGTCCTGTTTTGTATATTATGTTAAACTGTAGTGCCTAATGTTTCGTTATTTATGCATTTTAAGTTGTCTACTGGGATTTGGTCTGGACCTAATGATCTGGACTACTAACTGCCATTTTTGCTGTTTTGATTACCATTTTAATTTTCTCTTTTAATATTGTCTAACCACACTACTTCTACTTCCATCTGTTCTCTCCTATTGTCTCTAAACATTTCAGTGATGTATTCTATTTATCTGTCCATCATTAATTTTTCAATAATATTCAACACTAGTTTTCCCATTTTTCCATTTTCTATTAACATGTCATCAATTATTATATAACAGACTACTCTTAATCGCATTATGTAAGCATATTATACGAATGACTCTGGAGGGTTCCAAAGCTATGGTGACAATAGATGGAGATATGGCGCAGGCCTTTGGTATTGAAAATGGAGTAAGACAAGGTGATGCCTTATCATCAACACTTTTTAATCTAACTTTAAAAGCTGTTGTTAGAAAACTGGATATAAACGGCTGTATTAATACAAGATCAATGCAAATATGCGCATATGCGGATGATGTTGCAATAATAAGCAGCAACATAATGTTATTAAGCGAAAAAGGTATAGAACTGAAACGAGAAGCTGCTACGTTTGGTCAACATATAAATGAAAACAAAACAAAATATTATGGAGTGCACAAAAACGAATCAACGTGAGAATCTGAAAGTAGACAACCTTACCTACAAATATGCCTTCACTTTTCCCTACCTAGGCTCAATAATAAATGACAAAAACAACATCAGTCAAGAGATACAAGCACGGATTCTTAGCGGTAATAAGTGCTTTTATGCATACAAAGACTTAATGAAAAGTAAGTTACTGAATCGTGAGTCTAAGCTTAGAATTTACAAAACAGTAATTAGACCAGTGGTCACATATGAATATGAAACGTGGACCTATTCAACCACTAATTAAAATCAACTGAGAATAGTTGAGCGGAAAATATTAAGGAAAATATTTGGACCAACCCAATGCAGCGATGGTTTATGGAGAATTAAAATGGACCACGAGCTGGATGAACTAATGCAGAGCGCAGATATTGTTAGATGTGTAAAGTCACAAAGACTAAACTGGCTTGGTCACCTAGAAAGAATAGCAGATAATCGAGCTGGAAAAGTAGTCCAGAGGTGGAAGCCCCAAGGAAACAGAACAAGAGGAAGGCCCCGTAAAAGATGGATAGACGACGTAGAGGGGGTTCTTAAAACCATAAACATCAGGCAGTGGCGAAGGAAAGTATCCGACAGGGCAGAATGTAAGAACATTGTTAAGCAGACCAAGACTTAAAAAGGGTTGTAGCGCCTTTAGAAGAAGAAGAAGAAGAAGAACCTCGTGGGAGGTCAACGAAGAGGTAGGCCAGAGTTTGGATAAATGATGTCGTAGACGACGGTTAAGAAAAATAGGTGCAATAGTTGAATATATAAAAAGCTGTTCCTATTCCGATATTTTTCTCGGAAAATTTTTTTTATCTTACTTGTTACACGAGTTGCTAGTATTTTTCTTTTGTTTCAGCCAGTAAATGGTAAACTATTTTTAAATGAGTTGATATCGGACAACGCTGCTTTCCGATTAGTATCTGACTACGTTAAAGCTATAAAGAAAACTAAAGAATTGCCTTGGATTATAAACGGCACCATAACAGTACACCAAAGCTTCTTTATCGCATTTGGCCAAGGTAAACAATAATACATATTAAACTATTTAATTAATGATGCATGTATATTTATATATCCACATTTTAATAAAATGTCGTCCCGTAATGTAAAATAATTAGTCCAGGATGTGTTCTGAGGAGTTATCTGCTCAGAAATCTATTTATAGGCATCGATTTGACCAAAGTTTTAACAGTAGTTAGAAAATAGCTTAAACATCAAAATCTACCCTATGCCAATATGTACTTTTTCTTTGGCGGAGGTTACCACCCCAACTGCGGGATAAAAAAGTTAATAAAAAAAAACTATTGTAATCACTTAAACATTTTTTTTATAGTCAACTGTTTTCAAAAAAAAAATTATTAATTTTTTATTAATTTTAATCCATTTGATTATTGTTGGCAGAAATGGAAATAAAGCCGGCAATGTACGTTCCTTGTTATTGTTCCTTCTGTAAATCAGCTATCATGAATCATCAAACGTTAGGCATAATATGTATTGATACTGATAACAGTGACAGAAAAAAAGCTTATATTTGTTTTAATTAAACATTTAATAATTTAAGTTTGAATACTGTTTTTACTTACATGGAAAATTATTATTACAATAAATGTAAATAATAATACACCATTTGCAGAGATACACGCGTTTATTCGACGAATCCAATAATTCTTAATATTATAAGTATCTAAATAATTATGTCTGATTATTTCAGCAGCATCAAAAATTTGTTGTCGCAATTAAGTTTCTGTTTTAATTTTATCCTGGTTGTCGAATATTAATGACTTTAGATGTTCCCAAAAATAAAAGTCCATAACATTGCATTCTGGCGTTCTAGATGGCCACAGAAGGTGTAAATTTCTACCGATCCAACGACGAGGATAACTGGTGTCGAGAACATTTTTAATATGCCTCGTAAAATGTTCTGGAACCGCGTCATAAAGAAACCACATTTCAGAGCGTATTTGTAACGGAACGTATTCAAGAAGTATCGGTAGAACATGCTGCAAAAAATTTATTTTAAATAGATTTCTCAATTCAATCTTCTGGTAAGTTCGTACAGTCGAATCAGATGATTACCATTTCTCGTAAAACAAGCTTCATCTGCACACAAAACTTTTCAAACCATCTACAAAATTTTAATCTTCGAGGTAAATCGCCTTGGTGGATATCTTGCACTCGTTGGTAATGGTAAGGATGTAACAGTTGTTCCGTAAATGTCTTGTGAACAATGTTTTTTAAAATGCCAACCATTCTAGCCACAGATCGGGTACTTACTCTTGGATTATCACTGACTATATCCAAAATCTTCTGTATTTAGTCTAGGGTTACTTCGTGTTCTACCGCTAGTTTTTTTAGGTACCACACAACCCGTCTCTAATAATTTTTGGGACACGTTCATAAAACTTCGGGCATTAGGATGTCGTCGTTTCGGATAGGGTTCAACATAGTCTAACACCCCTGTTACTGTCACAGTGTCGAAAACATGACAATACTATTTATTCTTGAGCTACGGGTAATTACAACTGTTTACAAATAATGTACCGTCTCTGTATCAAAATAAATTAAACTGTCGCATTTTACCCACACCTCTTTGAAGCGCAACGTTGCCGGTGACTAATCAAGTGGATTAAATTTAATATATATATATTTTTTTTTTGAAAACGGAAAACTTTATATATTATATAAAGATCAGCTCAACAATTTCATTGCGCCGAGCTTTCAACATCCTCTTAGATCTCTTCTTCAGTGCTTCTAGGAACTCAATCACCCGAGTCCTCAGACACTACTATACTAATAATTAACCAATGCACTACTTCCACGGGGAACAGAAGACGGATACCGTCGATAGTGATGTGGTTTAGGTGGAGAATGGTGTAAGTGTTAGCGTGGAGATTAGCGCGAGAGATACATTTAAGATACGTTTTATATTTAGTTTTTTGTATTCTATGTATTTTTGGTTTGCTATAAACAATATTTCTATTTGTTAAGTAGTAAAACTATAAATTCTTGTTCGATCAATCAAAGACAAGATTTCAAATGAACAACACCGATTTTATAAATTTCCTTGTAAAGACTGCCCCCAATCCTAAAAAGGCCAAAAAAATCGTAGAATACAAAATAGCTTTTATGAACATTCCGTTTCTGTTCGCAATTCTGATTCAATTTTAGCTCTGGGTCAACTCCATCCTCATACAGGTCACAAAATTGATTTTGAAAACTCCAGAACCATAGCACTTATCCGCTTCTATTAAACAAGAATTATTTGAGAAGCCATGAAAATTTAAAAATGGCCAAATTGCCCCAATTAAAGATATGACGGCGTACTGTTACCTTTGACATTCTCATAACGACGGTATAAATTAACTGTCCTTTATTCCTATATGCAGTAATGCATAAGATACTGATTAGTGTAGTAGTATCTGGGGGCTTTTTCGACTAAGACCTCGGAAATCCTGAAAAAGTCATCAAAGAGGATGTCGAAAGCTCGGTACAATGATAATTGACGCGGTTCAATCTATAAGACTATTTAATATTAAAATTCCACGAGGAAACTAAGTTCCTGTAGCTGGCTGTATACCATATATCACAAAAAAAAATTGTTAAAATCCTTTATAAAAGGTATATAAAATTGCCTCAAACGGGCTATCACAAACACATTGCAAAACGTTTTCGGATTAAACAATCCATCATCAGTGCAAACGGTTGTACATGCTAGTAGCCACCAAAATACCAGTTGTTATCAACAGGTCCTCGTAGGCACTTCGTCTCAGGACCATTTTACTCATGTAGAGTCATACGCCGCCATGTTACCTATCCAACGGTAACTTAACCATCACAACTTAGAAACACTAATAATGTAAAACAATTTCAAATTTATAACATTTAAAGGGTTTTTACCCATATATTTTGGTGGCTACTAGCATGTACAACCGTTTGCACTGATGATGGATTGTTTAATCCGAAAACGTTTTGCAATGTGTTTGTGATAGCCCGTTTGAGGCAATTTTATATACCTTTTATAAAGGATTTTAACAAAATTTTTTTGTTATTTAATATTAATAATAGTATTAATCTTAGCTCTATACTAAAATAATTTTTAATTAAAAGTAATTACTTGGCAACATCGCAGCTAACGAAGCTCTTAACAATAACTTTTCAACGAAATCATACTCAACTTATCAATTTTGCAGAGGCGTACAAAAAAATTTGAATTATTTATTTAAATACAGAAGTAATTACGTAAAAATTAGAACTAAGAACAATATGATTATTAAATTATCATGTGCCTTTTAACAGGTATCTTATATTTGTTTAATAAAATAAAGTAAAATTGTATTCTTATTAGAGAGTACCTAATACAGAATTTCAAAAAACAGAAAACTTTGGGAAATACTTATTTTTTTCATTAGACTAAAACAATATGAAATTTTAACATACGATCTCGTCATTACACATCATTCTCTATTTATAGAATTGCTGTGTGCTGTAGATGTTATATTTGTTTTTTTTTTTAACTTAATTTTAAAGTTTCCTTGTGTTTATTTGTTTATACAAATATAAAAATGTATTATAAAGTTCATATAAATTAAAACAAAGTAAGCTAAACTATTATCATGTGAATTCATGTATATAGTAGTGCATTTGTTTATTTCAGTAAATTCTCGAAATATGAAATAAAGATGGCACTAGCTACTAAAGAGTTAATAGCTTTGTTAGAAGAAGACTCAGATTGTAAAAATGCTGACTCGCTTAATTTGGTTTATTTGCTGCCGAGATTTGATTAGAAAGTTTCTGATGTGATGATATTATTTGTGAAGAATCAATAAAATTGGATATTGCAGGTACATATGAAATAAAAGTGATTGTGGATTCTGACGATTCTGATTAGGATATTTCTCTGAACCACAGATAAAACGTCCAAACGTCCAAAGAAAAAACCAGGCAAAAATAGTAAATTCAAATTTGTCTCAAGTTGTAACAACAGATAATCCTTCGTCCTTAGAAATAATTTAACATCAGCCTGATTGATAATTAGACAATATAAAAGCCAACCATAGAGGCACGTCATATATTGAAGATTTCTCACACTTTTTTGATAAAAAAGTAATTGAGAGGATTCTATATTTCATAAATATTTATTTAACGCAGAATAACCGTCATGATTTTGAAATGAAGAACATAGATTTAAAAAAAATTAATATCATATGTATATTATCTGGTTCACATTTTGCTTCAAGTTAATATGCATTGGTTAAATGATGAGGATAAAGAAGTGCACATTATAAGAGAAATCATGAGCCGACATATTTATATTTATAATTTAAAATAGTAAAGAAACCGCTACATCAGTGTCAAACTGGTATGTGGATGCCAATCTAAATTTGCTTTACCGGATGAAAATAGATTCGACAATATTGGCCACATCACAAAAAGAGACGATAGTGCAAGAATATAGGATGTGCAAAAGTGATACTATTTATTTATGTAGGGTGTACAATGCATCTACACCCCAAATGTTTCGAAAATTTTCACTTTAAAATTTAATTTACATTTAAGATACAATATGTTTCTTTATTAAAAATGGTGCTGTTTCCCTTGCAACTGAGAAAAAAATATTTTTCGATGTAAATTAGTCTTAATTTATATGTTTTTAATCCAATGACAACAAACAAATTATGAATGTAAATAAAAAGTGGTAGGTATAATAAAAAACACTTTAGTGAAACCAGCTCAAGAATCTTTGATACAACATAGATCAGAGGCTAAAAAACAGTGGATGACAGAAGAAATACTATACCAGATGGAAAAAGAAGAAAATAATAGGAAAAGATCTACATAAGTATAAAGAAATACAACAAATAATTAAGGAAAAAATCAAAACAGCTAAGGAAATCTATTTGATAAAACAATTTAAAGAGATAGAAACAAAATTGATTGATTGAAACAAAATATGATATGGGAAATATGCACAAAAAATAAGAGAAGTGACTGAAATGGGTCGAAGTAGACAGCAAGGACACATAAAAGACAAAAAAGGAGTACTACTAATAGATTAACCAGAGAAATTAAGACGATGAGAGGAGTACGTCAGCGAACTTTTCCAAGATGGAAGATGTAAAATGCAGAAAATACAAGAATATAGCCCTTTAGCGAGACAGAAGATCACGATAGATGAAATCAAATATGTTATCAAAAACTCTAAAGACAATAAGGCAGCTAAATTGGATAAAATACCAGTTAAAACTAGTGGAAGAGGGTAACTTGGAAGTATTGGCAGATTTATTTAACACGGTGTACGATACAGGAATAATACCACAAGTCAGCATTTATAACCATCCCTAAAAAACAAGCAGCACAGTGTGCTCTGATTATAGAACACTGAGCCTCATGAGTCATACTTTAAAAGTACTTTTGAAAGTAATACATAAGAGAATATACGAGTGGCTAAAGGAGGATATTAGCAAGATGCAGTTCGGGTTCCGCAACAGAATGGGTACTCGAGAAGGACTATTTGCCCTTAATAACACATTAATTCAGCAATGTCGGGATATAAACATTGATCTATGTACACTTATGCTTTGTTGACTACGAAAAAGTTTTCGATAAAGTAAGACATGAAAAACTAATATCATTACTTATGAACAAGCGCATTGACAGTAAAATCATAAATATAGTGCAAACATTATATTGGAACCACAGTGTCATAGTTCAAATTGATGGGCAATGCTCAGAAGAAATAAAAGTCTGTAGAGGAGTTAGACGGATATGTTCTATCGGGACTTTTGTTTAACTTATATTCTGAAGAAATTTTCCAAAACACGCTCAATGATGTCAAAGCAGAAGTTACAGTTAACGGAAAATTAATTAACAACTTACGATATTCAGACGACACGGTAATTATAGCAACGAGTAAAGAAGATCTACTCGAAAGCTTAAGTATGAATAGTGCTGAGATGGGAATTACTATAAATGCTAAAAAAAACGAAGTACATGCTACTTACATAAAGACCACAAAATATACATCATCTATTGACAATCAAAAATAACGTGATAGAACAAGTAGAAAAATGTCAGTACTTGGGAACTTTGATCAATAAAACCAATAATCATACTGCAGAAATAACAGGCGAATACAAATTGCCATATCAGCATTAATACGAATGAAGCCACTGCTAACGTTCAAAATCTAAATTGGAGATCAGACTACGTACCATTCGCTGTTATATATTTTCAGTATTATTATATGGAGCTGAGACTTGGACTTTAAAAAATGCAATTTAAACAAAAATCGAGGCTTTAGAACTCTGGTTATACCGCAGATTATTAAACATTAGACGGCACTCTAAGAAGAAGAGGCTTTGTGTAGCGATAAGAGTTGACGGTATAGTTTCTAAAATAATTGTTATATAATATTGTAGTATTGATTTATATGTGATTGATGCTGGCTCAAATGACCCATTAAAAATTCCCCATGGGCTTGTAGTCTATTCCTTTTTAATATTCCTTGCCTATTTGCTTTATTTTTAATTTAATACCAATATTTCAGAACACCTAATTACTGTTAGATGTAATATAAATTTGTAGTTTTACTTACATTGACAATTTCTTTATTTTGGGACTACCTAGTAGCTGATGTACATTTTACATATAAGGTACCTTCTATGTAAATACTGTAATATATTTTCTTACGTGAGCTGAAAAAAATAATTTGTTTTTTCATTTAGAATTCTGCGACGACCAGTCAGAAGCAATTTTCATGAGAGATCTTTTTGAAAAACGTCAGTTACCACCAATTATTAAAATCCGCAATATTGTTAGCAATTCCGAATATTTTGCTGAAATCTTTAAGTGCGTAGAGGGATCATCTCTGTGGCTAGATCCATCTGTTATAAGACAATTTCCTCATCCTCCTGTAGATGATTATGAAGAAGGTGAAGAGGGCGAAGATGACTATAATCCATAATAGAATAAAATAAAATGTTGAAATTTATTTACTTCGTTTAATTTGTGTTAAGTTTTAGAGTACCCTATTTTATGTCATACCCACACTAATAAGTTCAATAGTGAAACCTCAGCTTTTTATTAAATATTGCATAAGATACGTTATAGAGCTCTCATATTCTAGCAAACTAAACTAAACGTTAAATATAACTTGTAATGATTTTTTTAACCAGACAATATATGGCGGGTGTTGGTGAAAAGTTATATAAGTCGAAAAATGTAAAAAATGAGTTAAACGTAAATACCACTTTCAAATGAATGTATCTTTGATAGGGTGAAGATATAAGTCAAATTAATTTTCAAGCAGGTGATATTTGTTTGTGTTACATGATATAAGTATTTTTAATATCATTTAATATAGTGAAAAATGTTAGAAATATTCTAGTACTATTTGTTTTGCCTCCATCTGCCAGACAGGAAAAAAAATTATAGAGAAAACTAAAATAAGTCTAGTAATAATAGTCTTCCCTATATAATTTTATGATTAATATTTGTGAATAGTGATACAAGTGGAGTCGTGTTCTAGTTCGCCTACGAATCGGACGTGCCTATCGACAAAGCGAAACGAAATAAACTGTATTTGTTTAAAAATTGTGTTTTATACATCTTAAAGTTTGGTGTAAAAATAAAATTAGATTGTGAGTTAAGAATAATTAAATGGACCAGTTAGTCGGGGGGAAACCCCCAGACGACCCAGCGCCCCCAGATATACGTCAAAAAAATATAGTTTTTGGTGAAAGTGAATGTATAAGTATGGATATCTCCACAGATGCAGAGCTGACACCTCTTAATAAGAATACCATTTCCAACCAAGATCCCCAACCAGTAAGTAGAAATAATTTATTAATAAATCCAACCTCGTCAAAAAATAATATACAAACAACAACAATGAGCATTGATAACACGTCGAAAGAAAGAGAGGAGTTTTTGTATGTAAGTACTGATTTAGGCCCGTATCATATTTATATTGAGAATAATTCGGTCGAGTTTAAAGGTAAATTACAACCACTTAAAATCGGAGATATAATTCTTTCTAACTTTCCAGATATAGACAATAAAATTATTAGTATTGATTCTATAGGTCGGAATAGGGTTAGGATCAAGTTAAAGGATTATAAATCAAAAAATATTTTTGTTAAAAATAACTTTGTATTGTATATCCCAAAATTCATTCTTTATAGACAAGGGGTCATTAGAGATATAGAAAAAGATTTTTCAGAGGCGTACATAAAAGATAAAATAAGACAATTTGATCAACATTGCACTTTTGAAGTATCTAATGTCAAAAGAATAAAACGTAAAGTAGAAAAAACTACGGATGAAGGTAAAATAGTAGAATATGCACCCACAAAGTCTTGCATTGTTATTTTCAAATCACAAATCTTACCAAAATATATTTCTATTAATAAAGTTATCAAGGAAGTAGAGCCGTATAACCAGAAAGTATTGTTATGTTATAACTGCCTCCGTTTTGGTCACCTAGGGGGTCAGTGTCGAAGTAAACCAAGATGCAGCAAATGTCAGGAGTCCCATACCACACAAGATTGTAATAGTTCAGATTACACACCAAGCTGCTTTAACTGTCAAGGAGAACATCTTACCACTAATTTGTCTGCTTGTCCAGAATTTAAAAGACAAAAAATTGTAAAGGAAACCATGAGCTCTTGCAATATTAATTTCTTTGATGCAAATAAACAGGTCCCAAGAAATACGTACGCAAACATAGTCGCTCGTAATAAATCTGCCATGGAAACTGGTCAAATATCCTCGACAAATTATTCCCAACGGCTTCAATCTGGACCTACCCCTTCTAATACAATACAGTATCATTCCTCTTAACCTCAGTACTTACAGTCCCACAATTTCCAACCCAAATCCTATAATAACAATTTTACTAAACATATGTTTTCTTCCCCTACAACTTCAAACCCAAACAAAAGGCACAGGCCAACCAGCCCTGACCCCATTGAAATTTCAAGAAAAGAAATACTTACACAACCAAATACCTCTCTTGTCTCAGGGGGAATTTTTAATAGTCAACAATATTTAAAAAACTCAGGCACAGTAAAATTACAATCGGAGGAATTAAATGCAACAATAAGTTTAGTTTTAGAAGTAGTTCTCAATATTATAAGTAATAGAAAACAAACAAACAATTTCGATGTATCAAAATCTGAAATAGCGGAGTTAATTAGTAAACATGTAAACCATACCTGGTCTTCAAATTCGCAGACACAAACGCAAACATAAATTTGCTGCAATGGAACTGTCGTTCAGCAGTAGCTAATAAAGTAAATCTAGAATATCTGCTATATCAAAATAATATTTCCATAGCATTGCTTTCAGAAACGTGGTTTAAATCAAAATACTGTTATAATTTTAAAGGTTACAATTGCTTTAGATCAGATCGGGCAGACGGATATGGTGGAACTGCCTTTTTATTAAAATCAAACTTAAGATGCGAAGAAATAAATCTTAAAAATAGATATCCTTTCACTCATAAATGTATTTCAGTTAAAATTTTCCGAGGTAAAAATCCCATCAATATTGTGTCAGTTTACATTGAACCAAAGACTAAGATATCTGAAAGTCAATGGTTGGAATTCTTTAAAGACATACCTAAACCATTTATTATTGGTGGGGATTTTAATTGCCACAGTATCGCATGGTGCTGTGAAGGAGAAGACAGTTATGGTAAAAAACTTCTAGAATGTATTGATCATTGTAATTTAATATGTCTGAATGATGGATCGCCCACATTAGCAACTAGTAAGAGTCCATCCGCTATTGACTTAACCTTTTGTACACAAGATATTTTAAAATTTTTTACTTGGAGAGTCCTACAGGACCCTCATGGTTCCAATCATCTCCCAATTATTATTAACATGGAAACAGATCATATAACTTCATTTCCAGCTCAAAATTGCCACAAGATCTGGAATCTTAACAAGGCCGATTGGAAATTATACACATCTGTACTAGAAGCTGAAAATTCTCCTGGAAACTATCAAACTCTAATAGCAAACATTAATAAAGCAGCCAATTTAGCAATACCAAAGTTTTCATCTAACGGAATACATAAAAGACGAATTTCGAACCAATGGTGGTGTGAAAGTTGCAAAACCGCCGCTGATAACCGAAAAACTGCATATGGAAAATATAAACAAGATCCTACAAGAAATAATTTAGTTGAATTTAAGAGACTTGACGCTGTCGCAAAAAAACTCTTCAAACAAAAGAAAAAACAGAATTGGGTAGAATACTGCGAAAGCCTAAATTCAAAAACACATATCAGTGAAGTATGGAAGAAAGTAAACGCTTTTAAAAACCGCAAACAGTCCAACAAGATTCCAATAGACCCAGAATCCAGCTGGCTAGATGAATTTCATAAGAAAATATCTCCTCAGTGGGTACCTTCACAACATTTTCCAGAATACAGCGAAACAGTGTCAAGAGATAGGTTTGGCTTAGAAGAACCATTTAAAATGTGGGAGCACTTAGTCAACAAAATAGCAGTGCTCCAGATAAAGACAATATTTCATATTCCATGATATACCATATTCCTCACCACTATAAAATATCATTATTAAATATTTTTAATGACATTTGGAATGATACGTCACAAATTCCAGACAGCTGGAAGGAATATATTCTAATACCTATTAAAAAACCTGGGAAACCAGAAAATTGCAGTAGATCATATAGACCAATATCCTTAGCCTCTTGCTTCCTAAAGACGCTAGAAAGATTAATAAAAAATAGAATTGAACATTGGTTAGAGCAAGAGCATATTCTCCCAAAATCTCAGTATGGATTCAGAAAATCAAAATCAACCCAAGATGCCATAACTGCCTTAGTCTCATCCATACTAATAAACTTTACTGATAATATGTATACTATGGCTGCTTTTCTTGATGTCTCCTCTGCATTCGATACCGTTAACTTGGACATTATGCATAAAAAGCTATTAGATATCGGCTTCCCCATCACCATAGCTAACTTTCTGAGGACATTGTACACTAATAGATCAACTTTTTTAAAAATCAACCATTCCATCTCTCCTCCACGTCTTACAAATATAGGACTTCCACAGGGTAGCATATTAAGCCCAATACTATTTATTTTATATAATATGGATATAGAAAATTGTATTAATAACCCAACAAAAATTATTCAATATGCTGATGATGTAGTCGTTTACACAGCCCACAAATCATTGGATGTATGTAAAAATAATTTTGATGTCTCAATTAAAGCTGTTCTTAATCACTATGAAAATATTGGTTTAGAAATATCAGAATCTAAAACAGAAATTTGTATTTTCTCTAGAAAACATCAAATTCCACAAGGTCATCTGGAAGTAGGTCAAATTCAATTCCCTATTAAAAATTGTAAAAATCGGTACTTATTTAGACAGAAAACTTCTATGGAAGGATCAAATTCATCAAGTCATAAAAAAGTCTGAAAATGCAATGAACATTCTAAGAGCCTTTTGTAGAACTAACTGGGGCGCTGATCCAAATGTAGCACTTTTATTTTACCGCACAATGATTCGTCCAATTTTCGATTACAGTTGTTATTTGTATGGAACTGCCGCAAACACACATTTAAATAAATTAGAAATACAAAAAAATAAATGCCTTCGGCTTTGTCTTGGATATTTGACTTCTACACCTGTTAATATAATGGAAGTTGAGGCGATAGAACCACCTCTGAAATTTCGACGGGAGTTTTTAAGTGATAAATTCATTACTAGAGCCATAGGGAAAAATACTAACTATCTACAGGATATTCATATTTTATCAATTTTAGATCTAACTCATAAATATTGGACAAAGAAAAAATGTTCTCTTCTGGTAAATAGTTACTTGAGGATATCTCAATACCGACATACTTTCTATACGTATGAAAACCAAGTTTCACCTATATATTCCCATATATTAGAAGAGCTTTTCTCAAAACATATTAATACCTTTTTTATGGAGGGT